GTAGAGCTGAATGACCTTGAGCAGGCCGGACATAAAGTCCTTTATCCCCGTCAGCCTCTATGGCCCATTTACACTGAGAGCTGCCTGCTGCTGGAGCCAGGAACTGCTGCCTCTAATGAAAATCCACCAGTAAAAACCACTGGTCTGGTCCACTGGTCCAACATGAGAAAAAAACTGACCTTGAGAAAGCAAACGGTCCACACACGCACATTGTAACATGTAAATTATGTATGATTAGGGGAAGACGTGGGAGAGAAGTGTTCTTTACTGTTATGTAATGTATGCAGTACATACTCCTGCTTGCTGTCAGATGTAATGGATATAGTGTGAAATGTATATGTTTGACAAAGTGCACTACATTTAGGCTTGTTGGTGTTAAGAAAGACAAATATTTGGTTAGACTTTGGAATATAGATTTTAGGGCTGTCATAAAAAAATGTAATCGAGTTAATCGCAGGATTTGTTGTGATTAATCACGATTAATCGCAAATTCAGAATTTGCTCAAATTGAACTGTAATTTAAGATTGTTTATACAAAAAGCATTACAATAATATTGACGTCTTAATTTTATCCCAAGTAACGGTTAGTAAAATCAGGTACATTGATAAAGAACTCATTCTTTAACCTCAATGTCAACATATATATATTGGTTTTGCATTTGTGTTTTTTAGCTGTATAGATCATGTATTTTTGATATTTTCATTGTATTTCTAACGCTTTCAGAAAATGTGATTAATCACGATAAAAACATTTTTTGCACCTAAATTACAAAAAGTAAACTCGTGTTAACTGATTAACTCTGACAGCCCATAATATTTCAATTTGCATATGGTTCTATGACGCCATCTATCCGACACTGGTCTAAATGGCATACAGACATCAAAGAGCATAAAAGGCATAACTGTTCCCATAGCGATACCACAGTGTTCTTGTAACACCTTGTCTTTAGTAATACAGTACTACCCCTATTCCCCTCTAACAGGACGGGTTCACCCCCCTGGCGGTGGCGCTGCAGCAGGGGCATGACCAGGTGGTGTCTCTGCTCCTGGAGAACGACACCAAGGGCAAGGTGCGTCTGCCCGCCCTGCATATCGCCGCCCGCAAGGACGACACCAAGGCTGCAGCGTTACTGCTCCAGAACGACCGCAACGCAGATGTAGAGTCCAAGGTGACCACTACACTACATTCTGCTGATGTTATCTCTCTCCCTTTGCTTCTCTCCTCTGTCTTTCTGGCTCTTTTCTTATATGAGTAGGATCATATGTTTTAATCTCATTTTTTAAAAATGTGTTTATTTAATTGTTTTCCTATGTTTTTTTACTTTGAGGTTTTGTGTAGGTGCATATGTAATAATGCATTACATTATTCTCAGTAAGACTATACAGAGAGGAGAGAAGGAAACCTGGATATAAAGAGACATGGCTGATTCTGTACTGTGACCTTAAATCCTGCAGAACAATTGAACCACAACTGACAGTTTGGTTTGGAACTTTGTAACTTTTACTCTTAACATTAACACCAGTTTCTGTATATAGTTGTGTGATTCACAACCTCTCTGGCCAACTAAAGAGCTACTCCAGTAACTCCACCTGTAATCTCTCTGGCCAACTAAAGAGCTACTCCAGTAACTCCACCTGTAATCTCTCTGGCCAACTAAAGAGCTACTCCAGTAACTCCACCTGTAATCTCTCTGGCCAACTAGAGACCTACTCCAGTAACTCCACCTGTAATCTCTCTGGCCATCTAGAGACCTACTCCAGTAACTCCACCTGTCATCTCTCTGGTCAACTAAAGAGCTACTCCAGTAACTCCACCTGTAATCTCTCTGGCCAACTAGAGACCTAATCCAGTAACTCCACCTGTAATCTCTCTGGCCAACTAAAGAGCTACTCCAGTAACTCCACCTGTAATCTCTCTGGCCAACTAGAGACCTACTCCAGTAACTCCACCTGTAATCTCTCTGGCCATCTAGAGACCTACTCCAGTAACTCCACCTGTCATCTCTCTGGCCAACTAAAGAGCTACTCCAGTAACTCCACCTGTAATCTCTCTGGCCAACTAGAGACCTACTCCAGTAACTCCACCTGTAATCTCTCTGGCCAACTAAAGAGCTACTCCAGTAACTCCACCTGTAATCTCTCTGGCCAACTAGAGACCTACTCAAGTAACTCCACCTGTAATCTCTCTGGCCAACTAAAGAGCTACTCCAGTAACTCCACCTGTAATCTCTCTGGCCAACTAGAGACCTACTCCAGTAACTCCACCTGTAATCTCTCTGGCCAACTAAAGAGCTACTCCAGTAACTCCACCTGTAATCTCTCTGGCCAACTAGAGACCTACTCCAGTAATTCCACCTGTAATCTCTCTGGCCAACTAGAGATCTACTCCAGTAACTCCACCTGTAATCTATCTGGCCAACTAGAGACCTACTCCAGTAACTCCACCTGTAATCTCTCTGGCCAACTAGAGACCTACTCCAGTAACTCCATCTGTAATTTCTCTGGCCAACTGGCCAACTAGAGACCTACTCCAGTAACTCCACCTGTAATCTCTCTGGCCAACTAGAGACCTACTCCAGTAACTCCACCTGTAATCTCTCTGGCCAACTAGAGACCTACTCCAGTAACTCCACCTGTAATCTCTCTGGCCAACTAGAGAGCTACTCCAGTAACTCCACCTGTAATCTCTCTGGCCAACTAGAGACCTACTCCAGTAACTCCACCTGTAATCTCTCTGGCCAACTAAAGAGCTACTCCAGTAACTCCACCTGTAATCTCTCTGGCCAACTAGAGACCTACTCCAGTAACTCCACCTGTAATCTCTCTGGCCAACTAGAGACCTACTCCAGTAACTCCACCTGTAATCTCTCTGGCCAACTAGAGATCTACTCCAGTAACTCCACCTGTAATCTATCTGGTCAACTAGAGACCTACTCCAGTAACTCCACCTGTAATCTCTCTGGCCAACTAGAGAGCTACTCCAGTAACTCCACCTGTAATCTCTCTGGCCAACTGGCCAACTAGAGACATACTCCAGTAACTCCACCTGTAATCTCTCTGGCCAACATAGAGAGCTACTCCAGTAACTCCACCTGTAATCTCTCTGGCCAACTAGAGACCTACTCCAGTAACTCCACCCTGTAATCTCTCTGGCCAACTAGAGAGCTACTCCAGTAACTCCACCTGTAATCTCTCTGGCCAACTAGAGACCTACTCCAGTAATCCACCTGTAATCTCTCTGGCCAACTAAAGAGCTACTCCAGTAACTCCACCTGTAATCTCTCTGGCCAACTAGAGACCTACTCCAGTAACTCCACCTGTAATCTCTCTGTCCAACTAAAGATCTACTCCAGTAACTCCACCTGTAATCTCTCTGGCCAACTAGAGAGCTACTCCAGTAACTCCACCTGTAATCTCTCTGGCCAACTAGAGACCTACTCCAGTAACTCCACCTGTAATCTCTCTGGCCAACTAAAGAGCTACTCCAGTAACTCCACCTGTAATCTCTCTGGCCAACTAGAGACCTACTCCAGTAACTCCACCTGTAATCTCTCTGTCCAACTAAAGATCTACTCCAGTAACTCCCACCTGTAATCTCTCTGGCCAACTAGAGACCTACTCCAGTAACTCCACCTGTAATCTCTCTGGCCAACTAGAGACCTACTCCAGTAACTCCACCTGTAATCTCTCTGGCCAACTAGAGACCTACTCCAGTAACTCCACCTGTAATCTCTCTGGCCAACTAGAGACCTACTCCAGTAACTCCACCTGTAATCTCTCCTCGATGTTGTGTGCACACTAACCACCCATTCTCTCCTCTCTTGGCCGGCCTTGTGCCGTCTCCCCTAGATGATGGTGAATAAAACGACAGAGGTATACCTGTACACTGTACAGTACTTATTCTATCCATCGTAGCCTAAAAAAATCCAGAAAATAACCCCCTGTATCATGCACTAGTGTGGTTGCAGCCCCATATCTCCCTTTTTCTTTTGCATTTTCCCCATCTCTTCATTCATGTAGTGTATCTCTTATTACTGTTAGATAGAGATAGCGCTGTAAAAATGCATCATGTCTTAATAATACTGACGTGGACTGTGGATATCTGTAGCTGGAGGCTAGGAGGTTTCCAAGGTGTCTAAGGATTCCATGGGCTCCAAGATAGATATCCTGCCATAACATGGTTAATGATAAATCATGTTATGACATAATACTTACAATACCTAAGTGTTACTGTTTATCAGACTGTATTTTGACTATAATCTGGCCTATTAAGTTTAAGGAACCCAGCCTCCCAGCAGCAGAGAAATGGTCTACTAGTTAGTTTATTAGACTGCATTTATATCTTAACCTCCCCAACCCCCAGCCCCTTAGTGCATGGGACATGAGTTACCTCTGTTAGTGCTGTTTCCAGAGTAAAAACGACAGAAGGACCCCACCACACCAAACGATGGCAGAGGGGACTGCCCTCTCAGAATGCTTGTTTTGGTCGGCATGGCTACCAGGCTGGCTGATGCGGCTAGTATCTTTACTTGGCTTTGTACATGTAGATATTTGAGCCTCAACCACACTGCATGATAGTAGATGCTGAAAGCATTGCAAATCAATAGTTTGTATAGTTGGATTAACTCCTAATGTGTTTTAAATGTAATGGAAACATCTGTGTCGCATGGTGAATGTCAGAGATATTGACACAGTTTATGATTAAATAAATGTTTAATGCAGAATTATCTCTTATTTGTATGAAACCTTAGAGGTCAAGCTGATTTGTTTATCCTTTTAGAATAGAAATAGAACAGTTTATAACGCTCACAACTTTAGTGGTTTATGTGCAGGAAGCTTTGGTGACCACCTGCTTTGTGCAGGATTATTGGCTTTATCTTAAATCATCTCCCTGATTGGATAGCTTTATCTAGAAGTATCTCCCTCGCCATTTCCCATTATATTCCTCTTGCTTGGACAGCTGTTTCCCTCTAAGCCATGGTTTCATTAGGAAATCACCAATGAACGAAGTACGTTACATTCACATGTGAAGACGTAACCTATTTATGGTACGTTTGTGCTGTGACACAGCAATGCCTCTTGGCTGTTGTTGTTGAAATCCTACATAAACTAGTCTGTAACTGGGGACTTCATGCTACTGTGGCTATCCTTATTGTGTGGTAGTTCATGTGTTATGGTCCAGTATAACACTGTGGTAAGGGTGAAATAATCATGAAAGCTCATGGTATGCCATATGAACGTCAACATAGGCTACTATTCACATTCTAGTCGGCAGGATCTGTGTTTGGGTTTTGAAAACAGAGTTGCTCTGCCACAGTGAGAAAAGTCATGTGTGATTGTTGATGTGTACAGTAGCAGCCTGTAAACTTACGTGAGTGTAATTTGAGAGAGTGATATCAATCCCGTGGTCGTCTCTGACTCCGGTGTCGTTGTGTTTGTGTGTTCTGCTCTCCTCAGAGCGGCTTCACTCCTCTCCACATCGCTGCTCACTATGGCAACATCAACGTGGCCACGCTTCTGCTGAATCGAGGCGGCGCTGTGGACTTCATGGCCAGGGTAAGGATGCTCCGCCCTCTGCTGGACAGGAGGAGCTACTAACAACAGTCCACTACACTCTATGGAGCAATACCCATACACCACAACCCAAATTACTCACACAATGCTCAGAACCTCCCCACCCCCCTCCCACAGCCTGTACTCATGTCATATTGTGATAGTGTTGTTATCATAACAACACATAACAACGAGTGAAACAACTGACCCAACAACGTTAGAGGTTAGCTTAATGGGTATCAATGACAGCCTGTAATTATATGAAACGGCTGCGTCTGGCTGTAATGTTTGTGTTTCTGTTTGAAGTCGACAGTAATTAATGATTAGCTCCACAGTAAATTACACAAGAGATGGCTTATAAATAATACTCAACAATGGACAGCTTTACTTCCCCTTAGTTAAACACACCACACATACCTTTCAGAATACTTTGAATATCAGTCTGTCAAATTATTGTTTGTTTGTGAAATTATTATGTTTTTGTAACAATAGAAGGCTCGCATCATTCTGTTACTGGATTCAGATGCTATTTAGTTTTACTCACAGGACAAAGTATTACCATATGGACGACATCCAAATAATATTCACAGTTCTGTACTGTGTGGCTCACTCCTACCTCCTCTCTGTGTTGTAACAGAATGACATCACACCTCTCCATGTGGCATCTAAAAGAGGAAATAGTAACATGGTCAAACTGCTGTTGGACAGAGGCTCCAAAATAGATGCCAAGACCAAGGTGAGTGCCTGCACAGAATTAAATGCAGGTTGGTATTTATTGCGATGACTCATGTACTGGAGGCAGCTCTGCGGAGTGGTCACTAGCCGGCACAGACACAAAGTCATACAATCTGATTTTAAACCTAACCCTACCCTTAACCCTAACCATACAGCTAACCCTAATGCCTAACCCTAACCTTAAATTAAAACCAAAAAGCACATTTTAGTTTCATGAATTTGAACAATGTAGCCAATTTTGACTTTGCAGCTGGCCCATCTAGAGGAAATCGCTCAGTTCTGCCTCCAGGGCAAGACTCATGACAATAAACGTCAACCTGCTAATTAAATACAACACTGTGTATATATGTCTATATGAGTGCCTTCCCTTCTATATGAGGCCTACAGGACTTGTTTTTAGTGGTAGCAGTAGGCATGTTGTCATGTACAGTTGAAGTCGGAAGTTTACATACACTTAGGTTGGAGTCATTAAAACTCGTTTTTCAACCACTCCACAAATTTCTTGTTAACAAACTATAGTTTTGGCAAGTCGGTTAGGACATCTACTTTGTGCATGACACAAGTAATTTTTCCAAAAATTGTTTACAGGCAGATTATTTAACTTATAATTCACTGTATTACAATTCCAGTGGGTTAGAAGTTTACATACACTAAGTTGACTGTGCCTTTAAACAGCTTGGAAAATTCCAGAAAATGATGTCATGGCTTTAGAAGCTTCTGATAGGCTAATTTACATAATTGGAGTCAATTGTAGGTGTACCGTGGATGTATTTCAAGGCCTACCTTCAAACGCAGTGCCTCTTTGCTTGACATCATGGGAAAATCAAAAGAAATCAGCCAAGACCTCAGAAAAAAGATTGTAGACCTCCACTAGTCTTGTTCATCCTTGGGAGCAATTTCCAAACGCCTGAAGGTACCACGTTCATCTGTACAAACAATAGTACGCAAGTATAAACACCATGGGACCACGCAGCCGTCATACCGCTCAGGAAGGAGACTCGTTCTGTCTCCTAGAGATGAACGTACTTTGGTGCGAAAAGTGCAAATCAATCCCAGAACAACAGCAAAGGACCTTGTGAAGATGCTGGAGGAAACAGGTACAAAAGTATCTATATCCACAGTAAATGAGTCCTATATCGACATAACCTGAAAGGCTGCTCATCAAGGAAGAAGCCACTGCTCCAAAACCACCATAAAAAAGCCAGACTACGGTTTGTAACTGCACATGGGGACAAAGAACATAAGTTTTGGAGAAATATCCTCTGGTCTGATGTAACAAAAATATAATTGTTTGGCCATAATGACCATCGTTATGTTTGGAGGAAAAAGGGGGTAGCTTGCAAGCCGAAGAACACCATCCCAACCGTGAAGCACGGGGGTGGCAGCATCATGCTGTGGGGGTGCTTTGCTGCAGGAGGGACTGGTGCACTTCACAAAATAGATGGCATCATGAGGAAGGAAAATTATGTGGATATATTGAAGCAACATCTCAAGACATCAGTCAGTAAGTTAAAGCTTGGTCGCAAATGGGTCTTCCAAATGGACAATGACCCCAAGCATACTTCCAAAGTTGTGGTAAAATGGCTTAAGGACAACAAAGTCAAGGTATTGGAGTGGCCATCACAAAGCCCTGACCTCAATTCTATAGAATATTTGTGGGCAGAACTGAAAAAGCGTGTGCGAGCAAGGAGGCCTACAAACCTGACTCAGTTACACCAGCTCTGTCAGGAGGAATGGCCCAAAATTCACCCAACTTATTGTGGGAAGCTTGTGGAAGGCTACCCTAACCGATTGACCCAAGTTAAACAATTTAAAGGCAATGCTACCAAATACTAATGGAGTGTATGTAAACTTCTGACCCACTGGGAATGTGATGAAAGAAATAAAAGCTGAAATAAATAATTCTCTCTACTATTATTCTGACATTTCACATTCTTAAAATAAAGTGGTGATCCTAACTGACCTAAGACAGGGAATTGTTACTAGGATTAAATGTCAGGAATTGGGAAAAACTGAGTTTAAATGTATTTGGCTAAGGTGTATGTCAACTTGCGACTTCAACTATATATACCTAACTGCCTAACATGCAGTACTTTGTCATTGATGAAAGATCATGTTATATTTTTTAACTCTGTTCTATTACAGTATGTATGCGTTCACTTAAATATTATCAAGATATGTGTTTTTCTGCATTTCAGTCCATAGTGGGCTGAGTGTTTCGTAAGCTCCCCCACTCTATGGTCTAATTGACCGTGTTGTTGTGTGTAGGATGGGCTGACACCTCTTCACTGTGGAGCGAGGAGCGGTCATGAACAAGTGGTTGAGATTCTGCTGGACCGCGGAGCCCCCATTTTGTCCAAGACAAAGGTAGCACCTGCTCCTATCATTTACTTGGTTACTAAAATGATAGCACTTGCATCTACCTTATTGTAAAACACATGCTCATCCAGGTAACATTTGCAGAGCATTGATCTAAAGTTGTGTTTGCAAATATCTCCTACCACTGATAGAATTGTGATTGTCACAGAACGTTGCTGTGATGTAACATTTTCAACTGCTACAGAACATATACCGTTATGTCTGTAACCCTTTCAGAACGGGCTGTCCCCCCTGCACATGGCCACTCAGGGCGACCACATCAACTGTGTCCAGCTCCTCCTCCAGAACGATGTCCCTGTTGATGATGTCACCAACGACTACCTGACAGCGCTACACGTGGCCGCCCACTGTGGACACTACAAAGTGGCCAAGCTCATAGTGGACAAAAAGGCCAACCCTAATGCTAAAGCACTGGTGAGAAAGAAGGGGTGGAGAGATAGTCAGGGTGTACAAATTCCAAGTTCAAAATGCTATTGTCCATTTTAGTTAGAAATGGACATTTATAAACTGCATAATTAAAAGAGCACCATCATAAGTGTTAGTTAAAAAGCAGCTTTCAGTGCCACATTACGCTGGTCCACATTTCAGTGGTCTCCTTTTGGTTGCTATTTAGCTGTGTAATTTCTGTGGGTACCTTTCATAGCAGCATTTCCATGCACACAGAATCCTGAACCTGCGACCTGAGAGGTGGGAGAGGGTGGGACGGATTTGTCCCGTCATTCTGCTGACTGCTCTTGTTTATTGTTCCGGGAGTTGTGTCTGTTTGTGTCCTCAGCCCCTGGGTGGGGTCGCAACTGTCCTTTTCTTCAGCCAGGCTCACTTCCTGACTGCAGAGTAACTTCCCCTTTTCATACTGATAAAAGTAATCAGAGCTGTGACAGTGCACGTCCGTCCTTCAGTACTGGACCATTCACAACAACACAGTGGATAGATTCTTAGAGCTCTCATATAGATACTTCAAATGGCTTTGGTTTGATGATCTGCAGAGCTACATTGTGTGTTTGAGAGTGTATGTTTGCGTGCCTGTGTGTATGTGTGTGTGTGTGTGTGTTTGAGAATGTATGTTTGCGTGCCTGTGTGTATGTGTGTGTGTTTTGAGAGAAAACACTGTCTTGGCACACATCACTAAGTATGTTGTCATGCTTTGTGGTGACTGAAACCATGGGTGTGGTGGCTCTGAGGTTTACTGGCAAGAAGAAACTGTGTGGACAGTTGTAACACTATTGTGGCATAAAACTCAGTTAGGTTTACAATAAGATGTTCCTCTCTCACATGTTTATACTACAGAAAAAATAGGGGTAAAAATAAACTGCTATTTTCCTTAAACTAAGATCTGTGCCAAAATACCTGAGGAGTTGAGTGGTTTCTATTTATAGACTGGGTTTTGTGGTTTTATGTTTATAGAACGGCTTCACCCCGCTTCACATCGCCTGCAAGAAGAACCGTGCCAAAGTGATGGAGCTGCTGCTGAAGCACGGAGCATCGATCCAGGCTGTGACAGAGGTACGCTAGGGTTAGAGGGTTGGGCTGTGCCTGGGGTAACACGCAGGGCGTTAGGGGTAGGAAGGACAGACTGGGCTGGGAACTTCAAAGATCATAGACAGATTCATAATTTGGTTTAGGTACAGCTGTGTGTTTACCTTACTCTAAGACATACTGTAGGTACAGCTGAACACAGGCTATTGATTGTTGACTATCATTGTGATTTTCTTGCAGTCTGGACTCACTCCTATTCACGTGGCAGCCTTCATGGGACATGAGAACATTGTCAACGCACTGACGCATCACGGAGCTTCGCCCAACACCACCAACGTGGTGGGTGTTTCACTACACTCAGCTCTACAGAAATTAAACTCAAAACAATTAGCTAGTCAAAATAGAGGAATACATACCATGCAGGTTACGTGTGTGTGTGTCACGTTCGTTTAATGACGGGACAGACCAAGGCGCAGCGTGATATGCGTACATGTTTATTGAAACTATTAAACACACGACAAAACAACAACCGAAACGAAACGTGAAGTCCAAGATAGCGCACACACAACATACCTTAACCGGAACAAGATCCCACAACTACACAGTGCCAATAGGCTGCCTAAGTATGGTCCCCAATCAGAGACAACGAGCGACAGCTGCCTCTGATTGGGAACCACACCGGCCAACATAGATCTATACATACTAGAATACAACATAGAACAAGCACAACAAGGAATATACACACCCTGACTCAACATATAAGCATCCCCTGAGTCAGGGCGTGACAGTGTGTTTGGTTTTACTATCCTTGTGGAGATCAGAAGTCCTCACAAGGATAGTAAAACAAGGAAAATTTGGACAAGTGGGGACATTTCACCGGTCCCCACAAGGAAAAACGCTATTTTAGGGGTTAAAGTTAGGGTCAAGGTTAGGTTTAGGGTAAGGGAAAATAGGATTTTGAATGGGAATCAATAGTTTGGTCCCCACAAGGATAGTAAAACAAACGTGTGTGTTCCAGAGGGGCGAGACAGCGCTGCACATGGCAGCCCGGGCGGGTCAGGCGGACGTGGTGCGATTCCTGCTGCAGAATGGAGCTAAGGTGGAGACCAAGGCCAAGGTGAGCAGAGGTCAGGGGTCAGGGAGTCCTCCACACACACCTTCGTTGTCTAACTGGGTTGTGAAACAATGTGGTGTCACTTTTTTCAACGTTGTGAAGTGACTGGACAGAGTATAATAGTGTTTGTCTCCCTCCAGGACGACCAGACGGCGCTGCACATCTCCAGCCGGCTGGGGAAGGCCGACATTGTCCAGCAGCTGCTGCAGACTGGGGCTTCTGCCAACGCTGCCACCACGTCAGGCTACACACCTCTCCACCTGGCTGCCCGCGAAGGTCACGAGGACGTAGCCGCCATGCTGCTGGACCAGGGTGCATCGCTCTCAGCCTCCACTAAGGTCAGTGTGATTGAGTTAGGGTCCAACCAGAAAATGAAAAGCCAGCACTCACAAATAAAGAATTACTTAGATGTATTATTAGCAGTTCAGTCATGGTGGTTGTGGTTTAGTCAGTTGATGATCAGCGGAGTCAGGCTAAGGACAGTGTGGATTAAACATTACTACCATTGATTGGAGAACAATAGTCCTTTGAAGCCGCTGTTCCTCACCACTGGTGTTTCTTGTTCATTTCCTAAACCTTATCAGGATGAAAATGACATGGAAGCTAATTTCCTTATGCTTCCACACATGTAATTGAGCTACAGATCTTAATCTTAATTTGACCTATATTGTTACAGCAAAATAATCCCGCAGCAACAGGGTTTGAACAGTTAGTCCGTAATGTTGCTTGATCGGTGGTTAGGCTATTAGCTGACCAAAAGTAGGCTACATGAAAAGTGCAATACTGTTAATATAACCATGTGTTAGTGTGGGTTTTCAGTGAATTTATGTAAATCACAAAGCTCATCATGCGTTGCAGGAAAATTCGCACCAACAAATAGTGATCAAATTAAGACCCTACATCTGTATGATCGTCTTGAAGGTCAAAGAAGAGTGTTTCATAGACTTTGGGGAATTGGTGCGTGTGTGCGTGCGTGCGCATGTATAATGTGGCAGTGTATATTGCCGAGGGATGTCCTTGAAGGTGACACCCTGTCAGAGGAATAGATTAATGAAGGGTAAACCCCACTGTGCCTCAATCTCTCTCTCTCTCTATCTCTCTCTCTCTATCTCTCTCGCTCTCTATCTCTCTCTATCTCTCTCACTCTCTATCTCTCTCGCTCTCTATCTATCTCTCTCTCTCTCTCTCTCTCTCTCTCTCTCTATCTCTCTCTCTCTCGCTCTCTCTCTCTGTTTCTAAAACACAAACTATATATGAGGGGACAGTACCTTAGACAGCTGTCCAGAGAGATGACGTCAAGTCACAGATGTCCAGTTGATTGGCTGTGTTGGTACTGCACAGTACAGTGACTGCAGAGGGCACCAAACCGAACACACAGCCATTTTGTTCCATTTGGCTTTGTTAGTGTATCAACTTGTTTTAACAATAACACCATGGAGGATCCTCTTTGGACCAAGAAGGAGAATACCTTTGGAGATGTTAGAAAATAGACAATGGCATCTGAAGAAAAGTAGGCCATAACGGGACATCAAAATCACATGGCAGTATTGAGCGTGAATTACGACATAAGGACAATTAGGCCAAACGTTGCTGTGTGTGAAATGGGAGTTTTCTGTGGGAGTTCCACATCACTCTGGAAAATATGATATAATGTCTTAAAATACTCTCCTTAACACAGAGGGACTTCGCCAAGATTAACATGATAACATTATGCGCTATCCTTTTATAGATGAGGAATAGGATATGAAAAACAGACCCAGTGACATATTCTCTCAGGGTATCACAACTCACTGAGCAAGACAAACACATTTTCCACCCACCATACTTTCTTTCACATGGCCATGAAGCTAAAGTGAACGAGACCCTACTCTAAGGTTATTTGACAGTATGCAGTTCCAGTGTCCCGTCCCGTCCTTTCCTGTTATTGAAAGGTTTGCAACGTTGCACAACCTTGCACATCTTGAACAGATAGTGCTGTCAGTTAGTTTAGTGCTGTCCGGGAATCCTTGGGATGGCCCTAACCTAAACCCTAACCTTAACCATAACCCTTACCTATCCCAAACCTTAACCATTTAAAATTTCAACTTGGCTGTCTCAGGTTGATGATGTGTCTCCTGATGTCTTCTACAGAAAGGTTTCAGTCCTCTTCACGTGGCAGCTAAGTATGGGAAGATGGAAGTGGCCAGCCTGCTTCTTCAGAAGAGAGCAGCTCCGGATGCAGCTGGAAAGGTGGGATATGTGAAGAGAACAACCCTTGAAATACAATAACATTCGCTTGGCCATAGAATTAGAATTGCTTCTAGTTCTATGAGATTGATTGTGATGTTTGAGACCAATATCATTCATTCTAATAGAGTGAGTGAGATAGTAGATCTTCACTCTCCTCCTCCCCTCCACTGTCCCCACTCCTCCACTCTCCCCTCCACTCTCCCCCTCCCCTCCACTGTACCCACCCCTCCACTCTCCCCTCCACTCCTCTCCCCTCCACTCTCCCTTCCACTCCACTCTCCCCTCCACTCTCCCCCTCCCCTCCACTGTCCCCACCCCTCCACTCTCCCTTCCACTCCACTCCACTCTCCCTTCCACTCCACTCTCCCCTCCACTCTACCCTCCCCTCCTCTCCACTCTCCCCTCTGTTGGAATGGATGTCATACGTCATCCTGTAGGCCTTTGGCCTCCTTTCCTGGTCTCACCCCCGTCCCTCTGAAAAGGAACATAACCCTACTGGAGATAGACTGTAGGAGCTGCAGCTGGACTGAGGCAAATCATGACTTCTCCCAAGACGGCACAGTTAACAGATGCTTTTCCTCCTCTAAAACATTATGGCATGCACTCATTCACCCTCTTCTGAGACACACAGATGCGTACGGACAGACACATACACACACAAACACACACACACCATACTTATGAGGAGCTTACTGGGACTAATTATGTGTCAGATCAGTGTCTGTGTCCAGCCATCTGAAAGTGCTTAACGTAATGGCAAGCAGGTATGGTAATGAAGATGGAGGAGACTTAAAAAAAAACATGTTTGTGATTTAATAGTGCTTGGTGGTGTCACGCTAAAACAAGTCCCCATCTAATGGTGTATCCAAACTGCAGCAAAATAATATGCAGGCTGTCAGGCACACACAATAACATCATTTTGTTTCCAGGGTGACTATGTCACTAGAAATACCTTTTTCTGTTGAGTATATTTATGTTGAAATATTCTGCATTTTGCTAGCTGTGTGGATGCACTGTAGATGGGCTTCATTCAGCTCATTGGTGTCATGCTAAAACTGGTCCCCGTCTGATTGGATTCCATTGGCTTTTCCTCCTGTTCTGCTGTTTATGTTCTGGCTTCCTCCCTGGTGCTTTGGTGTTTGGGCTCCTTCTAACGCGGTGTTGCGTGTGTGTGTGTTTGTGTGTGTGTTTTAGAGTGGGCTAACTCCACTGCATGTAGCTGCTCACTACGATAATCAGAGAGTGGCTCTACTGCTTCTGGATCAGGGAGCATCTCCCCATGCCGCCGCCAAGGTACTTCACTCAGACACACACACACAGTGTCATACACAGTGTGTGTCACACACACACACACACACCATATCAGGCGTTATGACTAGTACCATACTGGTTTGGGTTTATTGATCTGATTTAAAGCAGGCATAAGGCAGATTTTTTACATTTTGGCCCATAGTACCAGCTGATAAACATTACAGTACCAGCTGATAAACATTACAGTACCAGCTGATAAACATTACAGTACCAGCTGATAAACATTACAGTACCAGCTGATAAACATTACAGTACCCGCTGATAAACATTACAGTACCCGCTGATAAACATTACAGTACCAGCTGATAAACATTACAGTACCAGCTGATAAACATTACAGTACCAGCTGATAAACATTACAGTACCCGCTGATAAACATTACAGTACCCGCTGATAAACATTACAGTACCAGCTGATAAACATTACAGTACCAGCTGATAAACATTACAGTACCCGCTGATAAACATTACAGTACCAGCTGATAAACATTACAGTACCAGCTGATAAACATTACAGTACCCGCTGATAAACATTACAGTACCAGCTGATAACGCAATGATTAATCATTAACTCGTGTCTGTTATACACTGTTTCTTTGTCTCTTGTCCTTGGCCTGTTTGGATTGGCTTAACTCTAAAGACATGTACTTTTTACTGAAGTGTGTGCATCCTGTTACAAACTGAATGTTTTACCCAACGAGGATGAGAGCAGAATAGGAGAGGATAGAAGGGATTTAACTTCCATTGCTGTCTTTCAAAGAGGAACCATGAATACAATGATGTACTGTAGGCTAGCCTAGTACAGTGGGGGAAAAAAGTATTTAGTCAGCCACCAATTGTGCAAGTTCTCCCACTTAAAAAGATGAGAGAGGCCTGTAATTTTCATCATAGGTACACGTCAACTATGACAGACAAATTGAGGAAAAAAAATCCAGAAAATCACATTGTAGGATTTTTAATGAATTTATTTGCAAATTATGGTGGAAAATAAGTATTTGGTCACCTACAAACAAGCAAGATTTCTGGCTCTCACAGACCTGTAACTTCTTATTTAAGAGGCTCCTCTGTCCTCCACTCGTTACCTGTATTAATGGCACCTGTTTGAACTTGTTATCAGTATAAAAGACACCTGTCCACAACCTCAAACAGTCACACTCCAAACTCCACTATGGCCAAGACCAAAGAGCTGTCAAAGGACACCAGAAACAAAATTGTAGACCTGCACCAGACTGGGAAGACTGAATATGCAATAGGTAAGCAGCTTGGTTTGAAGAAATCAACTGTGGGAGCAATTATTAGGAAATGGAAGACATACAAGACCACTGATAATCTCCCTCGATCTGGGGCTCCACGCAAGATCTCACCCCGTGGGGTCAAAATGATCACAAGAACGGTGAGCAAAAATCCCAGAACCACACGGGGGGACCTAGTGAATGACCTGCAGAGAGCTGGGACCAAAGTAACAAAGCCTACCATCAGTAACACACTACGCCGCCAGGGACTCAAATCCTGCAGTGCCAGACGTGTCCCCCTGCTTAAGCCAGTACATGTCCAGGCCCGTCTGAAGTTTGCTACAGTGCATTTGGATGATCCAGAAGAGGATTGGGAGAATGTCATATGGTCAGATGAAACCAAAATAGAACTTTTTGGTAAAAACTCAACTCGTCGTGTTTGGAGGACAAAGAATGCTGAGTTGCATCCAAAGAACACCATACCTACTGTGAAGCATGGGGGTGGAAACATCATGCTTTGGGGCTGTTTTTCTGCAAAGGGACCAGGATGACTGATCCGTGTAAAGGAAAGAATGAATGGGGTCATGTATCGTGAGATTTTGAGTGAAAACCTCCTTCCATCAGCAAGGGCATTGAAGATGAAATGTGGCTGGGTCTTTCAGCATGACAATGATCCCAAACACACCGCCCGGGCAACGAAGGAGTGGCCTCGTAAGAAGCATTTCAAGGTCCTGGAGTGGCCTAGCCAGTCTCCAGATCTCAACCCCATAGAAAATCTTTGGAGGGAGTTGAATGTCTGTGTTGCCCAGCGACAGCCCCAAAACATCACTGCTCTAGAGGAGATCTGCATGGAGGAATGGGCCAAAATACCAGCAACAGTGTGTGAAAACCTTGTGAAGACTTACAGAAAACATTTGACCTGTGTCATTGCCAACAAAGGGTATATAACAAAGTATTGAGAAACTTTTGTTATTGACCAAATACTTATTTTCCACCATAATTTGCAAATAAATTCATAAAAAATCCTACAATGTGATTTTCTGGATTTGTCTTCCTCATTTTGTCTGTCATAGTTGACGTGTACCTATGATGAAAATTACAGGCCTCTCTCATCATTTTAAGTGGGAGAACTTGCACAATTGGTGGCTGACTAAATACTTTTTTTCCCCACTGTATATGTGCTAGTGTGTGATAGGATTCAGTGCTCGTGTGTGATAGGATTCAGTGCTCGTAGTCCTGTGTAGCTCAGTTGGTAGAGCATGGCGCTTGCAACGCCAGGGTTGTGGGTTCGATTCCCACGGGGGACCAGTATGAAAATGTATGCACTCACTAACTGTAAGTCGCTCTGGATAAGAGCGTCTGCTAAATTACTAAAATGTAAAATGTAAATGTGCTGGTGTGTGATAGGATTCAGTGCTGGTGTGTGATAGGATTCAGTGCTGGTGTGTGATAGGATTCAGTGCTGGTGTGTGATAGGATTCAGTGCTCGTGTGTGATAGGATTCAGTGCTAAGTCGACCGCTTCATACTGCTTGTTTGTCATGACTGTCACAGCCTTCTGTGTTGTCCAATAGAAAAGCATAGTAACTTAGTTACTGCTGTTGTTGAACAGCATAACATTCAGACAAAGCTGTAAATGTGCCAGAGTGGACCATGCCCAGTGACTTAGGGTCACCTTGTTGTTGGCTTGCGGTCTCACAGGCCCTGTTGTAGTGTTGGAAATAATGCTCAGGTTGTCCAATCACATCCAATAAAACTGTCTTGGATAAGGAAACATTGAAGCCTTGTAAAATCAATCTCTCTCTCTCTCTTTCTCTCTCTCTCCCTCTTCCTGCTCCCCCCCCCCCCCCCCCCCCCCTTCTATAAATCTGTGTTAGCAGGCTACAGTCGGTGTCTCTTGTCTAAATCTACTCTTTGAGGGCTAGGCTTGGTTAGATGTGGAGATGGAGAGTTATAAGTCACATGACAGGAAACAGTCGATGTCTTTCACAACTGCCTGGCCCTTTGTCTTCAGTCATGACAGACAGACAGACAGACAGACAGACAGACACAGAGAGACGGCGAGATGGAAAACTGGAAAACAGTCGTAGAATATACAAATCTGATGTAATGCATGAAGTCGTACTGTGTCATCAACTTTGTTATGATATGCTTGTTATCAAGGTATGAACGAATATTACAGAGGAATGGGTAATGGCACATTCTCCATGTTCTGGACTCCCTTGCTCTGAGTTACCTTATTTCTTATATGACAGTCGAAGTAGGTGTCAAGAGCTTGTCTCGCTTTTCCACAGCTGCTTACTGCCTCTACCCATGGTCTCAGCTCTGTAGAGATTTCTTAGGAACAGTAATGCATTAAAGCTTTTAAAAATAATGTGACGAAGGGTTTTGAAGTTAGAAATCCATTTTAATCCCCCAGGATTAATCCCCCTATTACATCTACCGCCCTGCACCCCCAGGACTATTACACCCCCTACCGCCCTGCACCCCCAGGACTATTACACCCCCTACCGCCCTGCACCCCCAGGACTATTACACCCCCTACCGCCTTGCACCCCCAGGATTTTTACACCACCTACCGCCCTGCACCCCCAGGACTATTACACCCCCTACCGCCCTGCACCCCCAGGACTTTTACAACCCCTACCGCCTTGCACCCCCAGGACTTTTACACCCCCTACCGCCCTGCATCCCAGGACTATTCATGGAGTTAAAGCCCCCCTGTAGTGTCATACTGCCAGTGGAGCTCCGCTAAAGGTCCTCTCCAGGGAAACCCTTTGGGAATGTTGCGATGGATCCGGCTTTAATACCAAGCCAAATACTCTCTTTCTGCCTGCCTGTGGCTATTGTTGTTTAGTAGTGTGTGTCCAGTGAAGGGAGAAAAGGGTGAAATATGTTGTATCTGTTAACCAAGGCCTTAAGCTAAACCATGCATCTAGCTAAGACTATGGAACGTTTACAGTGTACTGTGTGTTATCATCTCTTTATCTAGAACCCTAATAAGGTCACATACACATACATAATAATAATAAATAATAGAGTAGAGTAGAATAATGTAGAATAGAGTAGAAGAGTAGAATAGAGTAGAATATAATATAATAAAGTAGAAGAATAGAGTAGAATAGAGTAGAGTAGAATAGAGTAGAGTAGAATAGAGTAGAGTAGAATAGAGTAGAGTAGAATAGAGTAGAGTAGAATAGAGTAGAATAGAGTAGAGTAGAATAGAGTAGAGTAGAATAGAGTAGAGTAGAATAGAATAGAGTAGAATATAGGACACATAGAGTGCTGAATACTTTTCCTCTGTGTCTCTTCCTCTCAGAATGGCTACACACCCCTCCACATAGCTGCCAAGAAGAACCAGATGGACATAGGGACCACCCTACTGGAGTATGGGGCGGACACCAACGCTGTGACCCGCCAGGGCATCAGCCCTGTTCACCTGGCAGCACAGGAGGGCAGTGTGGACCTGGTCTCTCTGCTGCTCACCAAGAACGCCAACATCAACATGGGCAACAAGGTAACACACACTGTGTATACACAGCACAAACGGTTCACTATACTACATCCACATAAACACATACACACACACACAAACACATGCACACACCACAAACACACACTCTCACCTGGCCACACAGGAGGGTTAACTTATGTGGAAATTATATTTTTACAGCTCAACACTCATAGGCCTTAAGACCCGACACCGTCAACACTCAAACACACACTCACACAGAACACTACAGTTCACACGCACAACCACAGACACGTGTTACACACCAGTGGCCAAGCTTTTCCAGAGGCTGATTGAAGCCCACTGATATGAGCCTAGAGGGCCTGTGTCATCCTAGTGAGCACTAGTTGAAGGTAGATGAACACCTCTCTGTATAGCTCCGTCTTTAGCATGGCGGATCAGACCATGGCTGAGTCTCTCATTTTCACTGACGCTTTTCACTGAGTTCAAAAGGAGCCGCAGGATTTACCAAGTCCTTTCAAAACAAACTCCTAGCTAGCTAACTATCCCTGTGACTCTATAAAAACAAGGATGAATAAAGAGCCATTGCTTTGACAAAGCTATAATACCAGCATGGAAAATGAATTCTAAATGTGTGTGTGTGTGTGTGTGTGTGTGTGCGCGATTGGGCGTATCTCTTTCAGAGCGGTCTCACACCTCTCCACTTAGCGGCGCAGGAGGACAAAGTCAACGTGGCGGAAGTCCTGCTCAACCAGGGGGCGGACGTCGACCCCCAAACAAAGGTGATGGTCATGCTGTTTCTACGGCAACCACAGGGAACAGACCGTACAGACTATCACAGTGAAAGACCGTGGGACAAAGAGATGCCCTTGATTTCAACTCTCCTTGTCAATGATAGACCAGGGGTTATAGATGGTTAATTCATGTGTTTAGAATAGTGCTTTAAAGAATAGTGCTAAAGACCCACAACACAATGAAGTTACAGACATAAAGACTTGTATTGACGTTGTGTGTGTATGTGCGTTCGTGCGCGTGTGCGTGCGTGTTTGTGTATCTATTGTTTCCACCATTCTATACACTGGTCGATAAAATGATGAAGGAAAGACACACACACTTGGCTTCAGCACTGTGTTCTCCGGTGTGCCATGAATAAAGGATAGGAAGACACCTGAGTGGCAGGTGTTTGTGTCTGTATGTGCGTCACTACCAGTAACCTCCCTTGCTGGATGCAGCAGACCGCCCATCGTCACCCCCCATAGCAGGCTGCTCACGTTCACTAGACAGGGACACAGACAGAGAGAGACCTGCAGCAGCACAAGGTTACACAGCACAAGGTTACACACTGTGATGTGCTGACAGCACACTGGTTTACAGCCAAGGCTGTTCATCCATTCATATTTTCTATCAGGTGTCTCTATTAGAGAAGTGTTATGAAATTCTCGTTGTATAATAGGAATTTTGTGTCACACTTGTGTAAAGTTAATGTTAGTTACTTCCTACTCACACAAGGGCTGTGATGTCACAGGATTAGAAGTAACAAGCTCACATCTTGCTTTCTTCCTCTCTATCGTTCCCCCTTACTCTCTCTCTCTGTCCTTTCTTCCTCTCTATCGTTCCCCCTTACTCTCTCTCTCTGTCCTTTCTTCCTCTCTATCGTTCCCCCTTACTCTCTCTCTCTGTCCTTTCTTCCTCTCTATCGTTCCCCCTTACTCTCTCTCTCTCTGTCCTTTCTTCCTCTATCGTACCCCCTTACTCTCTCTCTCTGTCCTTTCTTCCTCTCTATCGTTCCCCCTTACTCTCTCTCTCTCTGTCCTTTCTTCCTCTATCGTACCCCCTTACTCTCTCTCTCTCTGTCCTTTCTTCCTCTATCGTTCTCCCCCCCCCCCCCCCCCCTCTCTCTCTCTCTCTCTCGGTCCCTTGCCCTTGGGTTAAACAGATGGGATACACTCCGCTGCATGTGGCTTGTCACTATGGCAACGTCAAGATGGCAGACTTCCTCATACAGAACCAGGCCAGAGTTGATGGCAAAACAAAGGTAAACAACTGAAAGTCTGTCCCATGTGGTGTTCATGTGAGCTGAGCTTATTTACCTTTCAGATTGTCAGATTGTGTGTTTTTGGCTGACTCTCCCTAACACTCTCTTTGTTTTGGTACCACTCTCCCTCCCTTTCTCCCTCCCTCCCTATCACTCACTCACTCCCTTGCTGTCCTCCTGTTTATATTTTCTCCCTTATGTTTTCACTTTGCATTCCCCTCTCTCCTCTCCCGCTCATCCCTCCCTCTCTTTCTCTCTGTCTCTGTCTGCAGAACGGCTACACGCCCCTCCACCAGGCGGCGCAGCAGGGCCACACCCACATCATCAACCTGCTGCTGCAGCACGGAGCCTCTGCCAATCAGCTGACCGTGGTGAGTGAGGCATCATGGGAAAACCTGCTGTCTCAGCAGCTCTCTTCCAGAGGCCTCGGTCAGCAGGGTTACACAGAGACACACAGAGCAGCAGAACACATATAATAGTATACTGTATATACATAGTAATGGACACACACAAACACACACTAAAAACACAGACACACACACTAAAAACAGACTTCTACACAGAAACAAACACACACACACAAATACAGTATCATTGTACATTCACAAAGCACAGAAATACACACCCACACACACAGCACTAATGTGGCCACACTAACAAAGTAAAAACAAACACATATTACAACCTCCTATCATTTACAGCTCCATTTCTTCTCCCCCTCTTCACAGAACGGGAGCACAGCCTTGTCCATCGCCTGTCGCCTTGGTTACATCTCAGTGGTCGACACTCTCAGGCCGGTGACTGATGAGAATCTGACCTCTGTGGTAAGACGCCATGCCATGCATGTCTCTCTGTCTGTCTGTCTGTATATTTAGGTTTCTGTAGGTTTGTTTGTCTCTCTGTTTGCCTGATCCTCTATCTGTTTTTATGTGGACCAGTGGGGCCTAGCCACAGTGTTACAGCTTGTCTTTGTCCAGTGAATATTGCTTCTGGCGCTCAATTTGACTGTAAATCATGAAATGGAGAGTCCACTCACCTGGCATGAACACAGGCCTTTATCTCAACCGACACAGCAGCGGTGGAAGACTTGAGTTGTGTTCCATTGCTGTACAGGTTGCAGGTGTTGCTCACAGATTCACACACCCAAACACTAGGCCGGTTACCACACTTGAGACAGCTTGCAATACATAGCGTACTGATCTCTCTGTGTGTGTTATTGTGATACAAAGCAAATGGTCAATTTGCATTCCTAGTGGATGAAAAAACATGCCAATCCAGACTAGTGGTCTGTCTCTATGTACAGTATTTGTTACAGTCATCTGACCATGTGCTTGGAGTTCACTAACCTTGTGTGTTTATCTGTGTGTGGTGATCTAAAAGTACATAGTAAATTAATAAACATTTGTTTATTCCTCTGATGACATGGGGCCGAATCCTAACATGAGGTGTGCACATTGTGTACAACTCAAACCTTGACATCACTGGATGAGATACTGTATGCGTATCTCAAATTAGTACTTGGCCCTGAAACAGTATACAAGAGTAACTGCATGTGATTCCAGGAATGCTGTCTCACATGCTTAACTGTGTGAAAAGCCCAGGTTGAATCTCCTGTTGCTCCTCAAATAGATCTGTCGACGTGTCAGGAGGGATTTAATAATAGTGACACCCGGGGCCAATCAAAGGCCACTGGGTACAGCAGCATTCATCTGCATTATTCATGTCGGACTCTTTTCTCTTTTATCAATAGATTGCGACAGAAAAACACAAAATGAACATACCCGAGACCATGAACGAGTTTCTGGACATGTCCGACGATGAAGGTATGAGTATAAGTGATGATATGACTGTATCAAAACTTCCCTTATAACCTAAGCCGTGCATTACCCCATAAGCTGGCAGTGAGTTGACCGGTTGGGGTTGACCTGTGTTTTGTGGTTTCAAGGCATGTGATTCATATAGTATGCGTGGCTGCATCTCATATTAGTGAAAGTGTGCCATGTGATGCCTTATTAATATCCAATTTACTGTATGTATTCAAATCACACAGCTAAGGCTAATTTGCCGGAAATTCTCAATGAGGACTGTATTTCAGATGTTGACGAAGGTATTTGCCACATTTTTCTACGTAGTAGTTTTGTTTTTGTTTCACTCTTTTCATGTAACCCCATTCCTTCACCTGCGCCTCACCTGTTGGAAAGCTAACCATCTCGCCATCATTCCTGATACACTGCTTCACTGACTGTCCGCTGTTGCTAGGAGTTTTCCTGCCAATCTGGAACACACTAGCCAGAACACACCTCTTTCTCTCTGCTTCCTACACTGAAATGCAGCTTTCTCTTAGTATCTTGTTTGATCTACGTATCAGTAGTTGATGTCACCAAATGTAAATCAGCAGAGAAAGTAAGCCCCAGACACAAATTACGTTTGTGTTTGAGCTTTTGGACTTTTCTTTTGCTTGCGACAAGATACTGTATGTTTGGTGTGACTTATCCACAGTCATTCTGGTTACACTGCATGTAGCTAAGTTTTCGAGCCCTAGAGCAATTTGTGCTTTGAGGGACAGGCCTTCTTTTTAAATTTTTATTATTATTATTATTTAACTTTGTTGCCAAAATACCATGCATGGTAGTTACATGGTATTTCAATATCTTGGGTAAAAATACAGTAATAAGTTACTATACATTACTTGTCACTACAGAGTTACAATACTTGTAACTAGTAAAGTGTGTGGGACAAGTGTTGCTACAGGTTACCGATCTCAAGTTGCACTCTTATGCTGGGTGGATGAATACCAATGTATCAGTAGTTGTTAGGAAAACTTAATGTCATTAATTGCTTCCAAAACACTGGGTGACAACTGAAATGCACTGGGGAAAAGTGTAATCTAAGCAAGCCTAAATAGCTTATATTGAGTGATGAAAAATACATCTTACCAAGCTAAATTATCTAACGTCATTTGCAGTTAATATTGCATTTTTCATCCTAAAAAAGGCTTAATACAAGAAATGTATCGTATTTCAATATATTTTTCAATATATTTTACCTTAATAAGACAATATAAGATATTTAGTCTTGCTTAGATTTGCAGTGCATTTCAGTTGTCACCCAGTGTTTTGGAAGCAATTAACGGACACTACTGTAAAATGGATACATTTGTCCATGAGAGAGGTGTGGAGTTTCTGTGTCAGATGATACTGCTGGACTCAACAAGTTCGACACACTCACCTGGCGACTAATCAGAGTAGCCCCGTGGAGCTCAGTTGGTAGAGCATGGCGCTTGCACCGCCAGGGTTGTGGGTTCATTTCCCTCGGGGGTCAGTATGAAAATGTATGCACTCACTAACTGTAAGTCGCTCTGGATAAGAGCATCTGCTAAATGACAACAAAAAAAATATAAAATAAATATAAATAAAAATATATATATAAACACACACTGCAATGTTTACTGCTCTCAGTGTTCAATGCTTTGAAACATTGTAATGGCCTCTCATACAATACTGTAATGCTATAATCAAATTGGTAACAAATAGTTTACCTTATGTCAGCTGTTGAGGTTATCCTCACAGTTTACTACATTGCAAAATGGCCTTAGGTGTAAGATTGACCAAGGCAGGTATGGTGCCATGTGGCTCAGTTGGTAGAGCATGGAGCTTGCAATGCCAGGGTTGTGGGTTCGATTCCCATGGAGGACCAGTACTTAAGAACACAAAAATGTATGCACTCAATACTGTAAATGGCTCTGGATAAGAGCGTCTGCTAAATGATTAAGAAGTGTCTTGCAAAAGTATTCATCCCCCTTGGCGTTTTTCTTATTTTGTTGCATTACAACCTGTAATTTAAATGGATTTTTATTTGGATTTCATTGTAATGGACATACACAAAATAGTCCAAATTGGTGAAGTGAAATGAAAAAACTAACTTGTTTCAAAAAATTCTAGAAAATAAATAACGGAAAAGTGGTGCGTACATATGTATTCACCCCCTTTGCTATGAAGCCCCTAAATAAGATCTGGTGCAACCAATTACCTTCAAAAGTCACATAATTAGTTAAATAAAGTCCACCTGTGTACAATCTAAGTGTCACATGATCTGACACATGATCTCAGTATATATACACCTGTTCTGAAAGGCCCCAGAGTCTGCAACACCACTAAGCAAGGGGCACCACCAAGCAAGCGGCACCATGAAGACCAAGGAGCTCTCCAAACAGGTCAGGGACAAAGTTGTGGAGAAGTACAGATCAGGGTTGGGTTATAAAAAAATATCAGAAACTTTGAACATCCCACGGAGCACCATTTAAATCCATTATTAAAAAATGGAAAGAATATGGCACCACAACAAGGGCCGCCCACCAAAACTCACAAATATTAATCAGAGAGGCAACAAAGAGACCAAAGAAAACCCTGAAGGAGCTGCAAAGCTCCACAGCGGAGATTGGAGTATCTGTCCATAGGACCACTTTAAGCCGTACACTCCACAGAGCTGGGCTTTACAGAAAAGTGGGCAGAAAAAAGCCATTGCTTAAAGAAAAAAATAAGCAAACACGTTTGGTGTTCGCCAAAAGGCATGTGGGAGACTCCCCAAACATATGGAAGAAGGTACTCTGGTCAGACGAGACTAAAATTGAGCTATTTGGCCATCAGGGAAAACGCTATGTCTGGCGCAAACCCAACACTTCTCATCACCCCGAGAACACCATCCCCACAGTGAAGCATGGTGGTGGCAGCATCATGCTGTGGGGATGTTTTTCATCGGCAGGGATTGGGAAACTGGTCAGAATTGAAGGAATGATGGATGGCTCTAAATACAGGGAAATTCTTGAGGGAAACCTGTTTCAGTCTTCCAGAGATTTGAGACTGGGACGGAGGTTCACCTTCCAGCAGGACAATGACCCTAAGCATACTGCTAAAGCAACACTTGAGTGGTTTAAATGTCTTGGAATGGCCTAGTCAAAGCCCAGACCTCAATCCAATTGAGAATCTGTGGTATGACGTAAAGATTGCTGTACACCAGCGGAACCCATCCAACTTGAAGGAGCTGGAGCAGTTTTGCCTTGAAGAATGGGCAAAAATGGGGGGGGGGGGGGTGAATAGTTATGCATGCCCAACTTTTCAGTTTTTTTGTCTTATTTCTTGTTTGTTTCGCACACAAAAAAAATGTGCATCTTCAAAGTGGTAGGCATGTTGTGTAAATCAAATGATACAAACCCCCCCAAAATCCATTTTAGTTCCAGGTTGTAAGGCAACAAAATAGGAAAAATGCCAAGGGGGGTGAATACTTTCGCAAGCCACTGTAAAATGTATGCTGAAAACCATTCCTCTGGGAATGTGTCATTTGACAGTCTTACTGAAAAATTGCGTTACATCAGACCATGCATTACACCAGTAATCTGTCCACAGTGCGTGCATCTCTGTCTCCTTATGGAGGGAAATCCAATTGGCCATGACAGGTCACTCCTGTCCTGCTGTAGTCAAGAGTGCAGTGGCATGCTGATCCCACTACGCATTCCTTAGATCACCCTGTCTAAAAGAGATCACTAGTAATGATTTTAGCCTAATCCTCCCTAACACCCAAACTACATAAATATGTTGATTTAGAGGAGTAATGGCTTAGTGAGATATATGTAGGCTACTTTCTTTGAGAGACAAAAAGATGCACCAATGATCAGTTTTGGGGGGCAGTTTGGTCCACCCATTTGGAATGCAGCCAGATTTCCACTGTCCACCCCCCCTCCTCAGGAAAAAAACCTAGTGGGTTGTCCTTCAGTGACTCTTTTCCCTTCAATCTCCCCAAACTGTTTATCCTGTGACCTAAAATAAGTATTTGTTTACATTCTGGATTAGACTATCAGATTACCGCGCAACAGACGAACCACAAACATTATTCAAACGCGACCTCTCTATCCCTCTGCCACTGTGTTTTCGGTGCCATTCAGCCTGCATTGACGGAGATGCTTTCCGGACTAGTGGACTTTCTCTTCAAATCCAATGAGATGAGCTTTAGCTGAGCCGACTAGAAAAGCAACCTTTTGTCGCGAATTTAAATGGCTTCCACTTTTACTCAGGGATGTGCTCTACCCGGAAAACTCCTCATAGTTTGAACTTTGTTTGCAGCAGGAGACGGAACGGCAGCGGTAGAGGTGCAGACTGCCCCTGCACTAGCAACAACTGCAGCAGTTACAGTAGGCTTTCGGACAGTCCCTGGCTGGAACGACAGACAAACGAGACAGTTCAATTTCGGGTTCTTTCAGCCGCAACTACATGACTGGGTGGGATTTTTTTCTGCCTCTCTCGTCTCTCTCTGGATTTATTGGTGGAAGTTAACTGTTCTGCAGATAATTGGAATATAAAGACAAACACGGGAATATAATAAGAGTGGTGACGGACATGGCTGTTTTTCTATGTAAGTCATAAAGGCTATATTTAATGGAGAAGTGCTGTCGAATGGAGGTGATACTGGGAATTGGTGCATAAAGCCATTTCGTACGTAGTCGAATGATTGTAGGCTACAGGGTAGCTGAGGCGGGAGAGAGCCGTGTGTGAGTGAGGGAGAGCGAGCTGGGAGAGGGAGAAGAGAATCGCTTGCTTGCTATGACGTATAGCCTTCAGTACTGCATTGGCTTTGAAAAACATTACTCACCTTTGACGTTCTACGGTCACTGTGTGAAAGGGAGCGTGTTGCAATGTAGCAAAGAGCTGTAGCGACATTGTAGCCCATCCGAGAAAGAGTGCGGCATTATCTGATGTACTAGGACTGCCGGGGGAGGGGCTGCGGTGGAAGAGTGAAGTGTTGCAGGCTGGGGTCGGAATAAGGGGGAAACGGGATACATTGTCGCTGCAAGGATTGCTGATTTTTTTTTCCCGCCTTGATAATCAAGGCGCTCTTGCTGATTGAGTTCTGCCAGCGTTTAATTACACTCTGCGCTTTTTGGCTTGAGTGTCAATACAAACTGCGTTTGGTTTTACTGGACAGGAGAGCTATGCTGCAAGTAGCTTTTGTCTATCTCCAAGCTAGTGGACTTCATTAGCCTATGAATAGATTGTAACGGATTTATTACCATGTCATTCATTTCAAGTAGCCTAGACCTATGAGTGTTGATGCTGCTATTTAGCTTCACTATAGCCCGATGAGTAGCCTACCAACTGAGCATAGGGCCTAGTACACTGGTCCAATAGTTATCAGAGTGACACTGATAAATTAGCCAAGGCCTGTTATAATGAGGTGGTGGTAAGGTTTTTCTAGGAGTACTGCAACTCTCTTCTTGCCCTGATTGCCTTTGAAGTAATGATGGGGGACTTTTCCACCAGGTGAGGATGCAATGACCGGTGACACTGACAAATATCTAAGGCCCCAGGACCTCAAGGAGCTGGGGGACGACTCTCTCCCGCAGGAGGGCTACATGGGGTTCAGCATAGGAGTCCGCTCAGCAAGGTATGTGACCATATTATGACATGATATGCTCTTGACCGTGATGTCATGTTTGGCATTGCCAGTGCGTTTGTTTATCCTATACACACAGGTTTAAGATGTGCTGATATGTTGATGATACTGTATGGGAGCAGTGAAATTGTAAGAAGTTGTGGTGATCTAAGTGTCCTTCATAGAAACATATGTTATAAAGATGTAATAAAGATGTTATTGGTTCAGCATAACTTCATGATTCAGCAGTTTGAGTATTTTACGGGCCATAAAATGACTATTGATCAATGACACTGATACCTACATGTAAACATATTGCCTTTGGTCAGATATGTATACGTTTTTGCCCACTACAGTATTCAAAGAGAGGATAAGCAGCTGTAGGCTAAGAATTGAGTGCCCAGTGGAAAACTGGCAAGCTTGGTTGAAAATACGTCATCACATTAGATGAGTATTGTCGAACCCACAGGACATCATTGGCCATCTATTGTGGTGCCCCTGACAGCTGGCAAATGCATGGGGATGGTCGACTGACTAAAAACAACAACGGTGTCAGGAAGCAGCACACTATGGGGAAAAAAACTGCCCAAAAACAGAACCACTGTTTTACACATCAAGAAAGAGGAGTTAGATCAGCTTTTAGGCTATAATGGATGGTGTGAGATGTTTATAATGTTTATCACATCATATATGAAGCGTGAACTCATTTCAGCTCTCCCTGGTTTGATGAATCAAGTCCAAGTGTTTGAATAAGGCTGTGTCACGTTTATAATCTCTAGAGAAGCTTTCGGAAGTTAATGTCACCAATTCCCAAAGCCATGTGACAAATGTAGTGATGGCTGCTTAGTCAGTAAAAGCTGGTGCTGATGTCTAAATCCAGTACTTTCTCTGATAAGGTATTGCATCTATAAACTATGTCACCATGTACTATCCTGTATACTGTGCTATGATACATCATGCTCTTATTTGAATCGCAAAGTAAACTGGTTGAATATGTGTGGTGAAAAGATATTGCTGACATGACCCGTGTAGCTCAGTTGGTAGAGCATGGCGTTTGCAACGCCAGGGTTGTGGGTTCGTTTCCCACGGGGGACCAGAAAAAAAATGTATGCACTCACTAACTGTAAGTCGCTCTGGATAAGAGCGTCTGCTAAATGACTAAAATGTAATGACTCTTTGCAGTGCTGGAAATGTTATGCTTTTTTAATTCAGTGAATTATTGTATTGATTGGTTAATGTATGGTGTCGAGCAGCTGCTTTCTTTTCCCCCAACCTTTCTGTTTATGACATCGGCCTTGCATGGTTTGCTCTCGGACTGAGCCACACATTCTAGTCTACACACACACACACACACACACACACACACACACACACACACACACACACACACACACACACACACACACACAGAGACACAGACACACACACAGACACGGAGACACACACACAGAGGCACACACACACACACACACACACACACAGAGACACACACAGACACTATGAGCCCAGGCTTGGAGCATACCCCATGCAAAAGCAGAGCATCAATGTCACATGGAAATAAACCACCTCTCTGCTTGGACGTTTTCAAAATGCTTTGCTCTTCACCACTCTCTTCTACGTTCTTTTCCTTTTTTTATTTCTTGCACTCTCTGTTTCTCACGCTAGCCCTAGGATCAGGTAAGAGCAGAAAGCACATTTCACCAAACATATTTCCCTCCCATGACCCATCCTCTGTGCATTGTGACTCCATGAACCATAGTCAGTCTTTGTGGTATACTTTCTCTGAGTTTATTGGTGACTTTATTTGGGAAACTTATTTTGAGCTCACTAATATGTTTCATCGCCTTATTTTCTCATCAGTCAATATAAACCCCTCATCATTTGCAAATAAACCAAGTAATATTTAACACAAGTTATGAATAGAGTACATGAGAAAATAAATGTGACAGTTTTGTGTTATGCCTTAATAATGGCAGGTGCTTTGCTTAGAGTTGATTAACCCAATTTTTTGTATGGTTCAAGGTGACACCCACCCCTTTATCATTTATCTGAAGGTGCCACTTTATGTAACTTCCAGGGATCAATATGTTTCAGTCCATTTTCAATCAGTATCAATCAAACAGTACTGCGGTATTGCTTACAAAGGAAAATATAATCCTTAAATATTACCTATAAAATTAACCATTCTGGTATGCAGAGATGGAAACGTCAAGGCCTCAATGGCTTATTGTCTAAAAATCCCGCATTGACCTATCTGACATCCAATGACAGACGCTCGCACACACGCGCACACACACACAAACACTTTACCTTGGATCTATATGATGAATGACAGAGTAATGATGGCAGAGCAATCATCCGCACAACCAACTCTTTAAACTGACACAGATAAGCAAATATTAACTTTCTTTCTAGATCAAATAACACTGCTTTATCTTAAAATGTAGGCTATGTGGAGAGAGAGTAAGAGTGAAAGAGAGCTGGTGAGAGAAAGCAGAAAGCATTGAGAGAAATAGGCATGGTAGTGTTCAGAATAGCAAAGAGGGAAGGGGTGAGGGGCAGAGGCAGATTGATCAAAGCCACTGAGAGGCATGAAATGGTACAGAAAGAAGCCGGAAGGAGCGAGTAGGGAGGGAGTGAAGGAAAGGAGAGAAGACTTCAGCTAAGTGCACCCGTTAAAATGTAATCGTGATACAACTCTGCACAAATAAAACCAAATGTAATTGAATTGGCGAGAGAAAGCTTGGGGGAGAGGAGGGAAGAGATAAAGAGGTTATAAAGAGGGAGGAAGGAGAGCTGTGAAGAGCAGACAGCAACACAGCGAGAGGAGGCAAAGCAGGTTTGGGATGCCAGATCATTCAGGCCGAGTGGAGTTGCTTAGAAACTTCAGTCTGCAGTGCTGAATAAAGGGCTTCTCTCTGTGCTGAATAGCATGCTGACTCAAACACGCTGTGCTCTGCATTTGTTCTCTCCCTCTCACTACACATACACACACACAGTTCATACACGTACGCATGGGCACACATACACAATACAGTGCAGCCCGACACTCGTGACTAGGTTATATACACATTTATTCTGAAAGAACATCTCTACAAGTATGTGTGTATACTCACAAACAGTGTAGGGCTACATTGTTTTAAAGGCCCAGTGCAGTCAAAAACGTGTTTTCCTGTGTTTTATATATATTTCCACACTATGAGGTTGGAAAAATACTGTGAACTTGTGAAAATGATGATATTGCCCTTTTAGTGTAAGATCTGTTTGAAAAGACCACCTGAAATTTCTGCCTGTTTCGGTCGGACAGAGTTTTGGCCTGTCTGGTGACCATTCCCAGACATTCCTATCGAAATTCTTGCTTGAGAAATGTATCTTTGCTAACAAGATATTTTTGTTACTGTTTGACCATTTTAATTGAAAACAATCACATTAAGGTACTTAATTGTTAACCAGAAATGATTTGATAGTTGGATAAAAACGGCTGCATTGGACCTTTAAAACAAGAGTTTGAGAAAAAGCTGAATGGGAGCAACAGCAGGAAAACATCACAGCACTGCAGAATGCAGCAAGACGGAGAGGACCATCATCCCTGTACCACCCAAACTAACACAGATAAATAAGAACCATTTGGTGGGTGCTTATATTCATCCTATTTCACACGTGCAAGTGTGTTTTAATAAGCATGTGTGATTATTATTATTTATTTTTTTACATATTCTTCATATCCCACTCTCCCTGAGACACCCTCAGATAGTGGGGTCACGGGCCAGGGTCTGCCATTATCAACAGCTACCCTGGAACAATTAGGGTTAAGTGCCTTGCTCAATGGCACATCGACAGATTTGTCACCTTGTCGGCTCAGGGATTCAAACTAGCGACATTTCGGTTACTGGCCCAACGCTCTAACAGCTAGGCTGCCTGCCGCCCAACCTGCTGATCCAAGTCATCTGGGAATTTAAAGACAAACACTTTGCCCATCCTAAAACTAATGTTTTATTGAATGAGCTACATTACTTTAACTGAATACCAAATAGCAAACTTCAAAGTAGTTTGAGATCATTTTTAGGGACCGTTATAACTAAATCTTTATTTAATAACCATAACGAATCCAGATGTTTAATTATTCAATTGAAATCCTCAAAGTTAGGACCATACTCTATGTAGTGTATAGTTACCACCTTATTGTTTGTTAGTAGATAAAATGTGATTCTTCATCCAGTGTCCTCTCTGAAACATCTAGTCAGTCTCTATTTGACCTCTTACATCCGTGTTCGTGATACAGACACACCTACAACTCCTTTCTCTCTCTCTCTCTCTCTCTCTCTCTCTCTCTCTCTCTCTCTCTCTCTCTAAAAACTGACTGACCTCACTCTCATTTCCATCTCTGAATAACTCCTACCTATCTATCTATCCCCAGCTGTGGGACTCTAATCTTGCTCTGCACTATATACCGTACATTGTACAGTGCAATTCAGTTCCCTGGAGGTTGCATGTAGTAATGGATTTTTTTTACTTTTCTTTTGGTTTGGGCCTGCTGTTCATTGTCACCCGCTGTGTTGCGTGGTAACATTTAAACACCCCAGCCTCCGCTCCTTCAGTTCGGATAGGTCCAACACCCTCAACCGCAGCTCCTACGCACGAGACAGCATGATGATAGAGGAGATCCTCGCCCCGACCAAGGACACGGTACGTCCTCCTAACATTCCTTTACCCCTTTCTTGTCTCTTTTTCTGTGATCACTCTCTCGGTTTCTCTATGTGTATCTCTTCCGCCTCGCTTCTCCTTGCTCTGTTTCTGGGTATTGCGTGAAACGGTTACATTTTTTATGTGAACTCTGAGATGGGGTCAATGATGGATTTAGCCTCCCCCTGGATCGTTGTCACAGTTTATTTCTAAGTGCTTATTTTGGGCTTTTTTGTTGATTTAGTTTATGTTGGGCACTTGTAGTGCTGAGGCCGTGCAGGACATTTTCTGTAAGAGCTGATTCAAACTTCCCTGTAGCCTCTGAAGGTTTCCAGCTGCCTTGGGAAAACCACACTGCAGTGTCCTGATTTGTCCTGTTTTGGGGATCACTATGCAGGATCTAAAACAGGAACTTTAACCTGATGTACTGTAAATAATATTTGCAACTTCACTGACATCATGTTCGACAAACAAATTCCCAGGAAAATATTTTGGGTCAAAGAGGAGACTTGTATTGGAATGCGTGTAAAATCTTGTTTTCTCAAATAGTAAAACATTTGTTTCCTCAACTTGTTTGTAAAATCTGATTAAAGCGATGTGTCCTGTGCTTTTTCCACAGCTTGAGGCATCATAGAACGCTCTGTAGTTTATCTGTTTCATATGATGATCATGTTTCATTCTTGGTGTTTTGTGATGTTTGTGGCACTATCAGATCTACTTATCAGAAATAAGGTTGTCTTTATGAAACCTTAAGAGGCCACTCTTTGCTAAAGACGAAATCTTGTGGTAAAAGCCACTGCAACCTCTTCTCAATGTATGAGTTGTTAGCCAATGACTGCCCACTGGGCACACATTGGTTGAATCAAAGTTGTTTCCACGTCATTTCAATGAAATTGCGTTGAACCAATGTGGAATAGACATTGAATTGATGTCTGTGCCCAGTGGGTAGGGACTGTTTGAAAAATCTCAAAGCTCTTCAAGTCCTATTTGTGGTTTCTCATCTGCTTCTCTTCCCTCTAAAGCTTCAGAGTGTCTGTAAAGACCTTTCCTACTTGGTTGACCCTCTCAATAAGGTATATGATGATGTCAGTAGATAGTTTCCTCGCTCTGCTCACGCTCTATGACCATCTCTCTGGCTCCATTCGTGTTTGTTTGTTTGGGCTCTGAAATTCTCATTCCATTCATTGGTCCTCATTTCAGTGAGGTAAATAGTTATTTATTTTCCCATGCGACTCCTGGTCACTGTAAATTCCCATGATTCATTTTTATACAAACAAATTATTGTTTCAGTTGGACATTTGCAACTTTTTGTGGTTAAAATGGTTAATCATATTCAGCATGTTCCATTGAAGCGATATTGAATGTTTTAGATGACAAAAACATGTTTCTGTGAGACTGTACGAGTCCTGTTAGATCACTTGTCTGTAGGGGTAAGGGATCATATTCTCTTATTGTGTGTTAGGAATGTAGACGGTCACAAAAGGTATCACCTCTTCTGTCTGTCTGTAGATCAGTGAGTGTCACCATCAGGTTAGGTCGTATACCATTGACCCTCCTCCTGTATGTGCTCTTCCACAGCACCTGGCTGTAACCCGGGACTACGATGCAGAGTGTCTGAGGCGCTACAGCTGGACCCCAGACACTATAGATCACAACAACACTGTGTCCAGCCCCATTCACTCAGGGTAAGAACCAGGCCTCTGCCAGCCAGTCTGACACCAAGCCACAGCTGGCTCTAGCCATGCCAGACTACAGCTAATCCAGACTCAGGAGAACGTTACTCTACATACTCCATTTGATCAGCCCAACAAAGACCCAGCTAGCAGTTGTCTGCAGTGAAATACTGTTATGAGGTTTTCCTTTCTGCAGTCTGTTGTGAAATTTTAATTTGCTGAGCCTCAGTGATGAATACTTTGAGGGAAGTCGCCCTCACATACATAATGGACTTGCACTGTGGATTACGTGATTTAGTCTTATTGGAAATGTACTTGACAGTCCAATGTCCTGACCTGGGCTCAGTACAGATGGAAGATACAGTATTTGGTGTTTTGTCAGGGCTCATGTACTGGGGTTGAGTGATAAGATGTCTACCCTTCTGGTTGCTATAATTTGAAAACAAGCTGTTGTAAAAGTGAACTTTGGTCTTTCAAATGAACCCTGCAGTGTTTGCTTAGAAGTGCATATTATGAAGTGTATGTGCAGGAATCTGTCTTGTCCTTTTTGTTATACAATCCTTTTTCTGTTATCTGTTATGCCACAACCGTTCATTCATTTCTGCCCCTTTCAATGCCCTCCATTTTTCAATTTCTCTTTTATTTTTATCCTTTCCTCTGACTTACATGACGAAATGCATCAGACCCTGAAAAACTAAATTGATTGTGCTGTATTACTAAATCTAGTTTTTTGCCTCCTGCATTGTTTTGGTCTTTATTTTGCAGCTTGTCCTCCCCGCTCCCTCAGTATGACTCCAGGTGATGATTGTGTCTGGTGATGTCACCATGATGTCACAGTTTCCACTACTTCCTCTTTCCTCTCTGTGCTCATGTCATCTGTGCGGTCTGGTCTCTCATCTGCACTGTGTAGCTGTAGTACTAGTGATGTGTTTTTGGATTTTCTCACTAAGGTGCCATCTGACAGTGCATATATGGATAAAGCCCCTCGAAAATCTATGAGCAGGCCTGCAGAGTGAACACATAGACGATGCCAAGCTTAGGCAAACATACAGTACTACTGTGCATTCGGAAAGTATTCAGACCCCTTGACTTTTTCCACATTTTGTTACGTTATTCTAAAATAAGGCTTTTTTTATCCTCATCAATCTACACACAATACCCCATAATGGCAAAGCAAAAACAGGTTTTTAGAAGTATTAGTAAAAAAAAGAAGTATTCGGACCCTTTACTCAGTACTTTGTTCAAGCATCTTTGGCAGCGATTACAGCCTCAAGTCTTCTTGGGTATGACGCTACAACCTTGGCACACCTGTATTTGGGGAGTTTCTCCCATTCTTCTCTGCAGATCCTCTCAAACTCTGTCAGGTTGGATGGGGAGCGTCGCTGCACAGCTATTTTCAGGTCTCTCCAGAGATGTTCGATCGGGTTCAAGTCCAGGCTCTGGCTGGGCCACTGAAGGACATTCAGAGACTTGTCCCGAAGCCACTCCTGCATTGTCTTGGCTGTGTGCTTAGGGTCGTTGTCCTGTTGGAAGGTGAACCTTCGCTCCAGTCTGAGGTCCTGAGCGCTCTGGAGCAGGTTTTCATCAAGGATCTCTCTGTACTTTGCTCCGTTCATCTTTGCCTCGATCCTGACTAGTATCCCAGTTCATGCCGCTGAAAAACATCCTCATAGCATGATACTGCCACCACCATGCTTCACAGTAGGGATGGTGCTAGGGTTCCTCCAGACGTGACGCTTGGCATTCAGGCCAAAGAGTTCAATCTTGGTTTCATTAGACCAGAGAATCTTGTTTCTCAAGGTCTGAGAGTCTTTAGGTGCCTTTTGGCCATCTCCAAGCGGGCTGTCATGTGCCTTTTACTGAGGAGTGGCTTCCGTCTGGCCACTACCATGAAGGCCTGATTGGTGGAGTGCTGCAGAGATGGTTGTCCTTCTGGAAGGTTCACTCATCTCCATAGAGGAACTCTGGAGCTCAGTCAGAGTGACCATAGGGTTCTTGGTCACCTCCCTGACCAAGGCCCTTCTCCCCTGATTGCTCAGTTTGGCCGGGCGGCCAGCTCTAGGAAAAGTCTTGGTGGTTACCAAACTTCTTCCATTTAAGAATGATGGAGGCCACTGTGTTCTTGGGGACCTTCAATGCTGCAGAAGTTTTTTGGTACCCTTCCCCAGCTCTGTTCCTCAACACAATCCTGTCTCGGAGCTCTACGGACAATTCCTTCGACCTCATGGCTTGGTTTTTGCTCTGACATGCACTGTCAACTGTGGGACCTTATATAAACAGGTGTGTGCCTTTCCAAATCATGTCCAATCTATTGAAATTACCACAGGTGGACTCCAATCAAGTTGTAGAAACATCTCAAGGATGATCAATGGAAACGGGATGCACCTGAGCTCAATTTCGAGTCTCATAGCAAAGGGTCAGAATACTTATGTAAATAAGGTATTTCTGTTTTTTTATTTTTAATACATGTGCAAGAATTTCTAAAAACCTATTTTCGCTTTGTCATTATAGGGTATTGCTGAGGATTAAAAAAAAAATCAATTTTATAATAAGGCTGTAACATGACAATGTGGAAAAGGTCAAGAGGTCTGAATACTTTCCGAAGGCACTGTATGTGGACAGTGAAATATACCACTGTCCTGTACATAACATTGTGTATGGTATTAGGTTAGAGACTATTCCTGTAACAACTCAGCCAGATCAGCCATGTAGGGTATCTTTATTATTGTGCCTTTATCTTAGGTAAGGTTTTATGGCTTTATTGCACCTTAACAGCTGGCATACTATGTGAGGCATTTCAATTTAACATTCCCTTGTTTGCTCTACTAATAGCTTACTACTACTGGTGCCAGTTTCCACAATTCATGGGATGCCCAAACTGCATTTATTTAGTAGAATGTAACACGTCACGCATTAAACACATTCTTTCATTTGTGAGTTAATTTAGTTTCTACTCGGGGTGAAACATTTGTGAAGGTGTGTTAATATCAGTCACTAATCATTGCTTCAGAGCGATTGATCTTGGCAGGAAACTCACCTTTACCATCTATTACAGCACCTCTTAGTTCTTTACAGATTCAGTGTCTTACAGGTTATTTTAAGACATTGTTAAGTGTCAGAGGTGAGACCTGCCAAGTTTGAGAATTCGAAGCACCATATCCTCTCTCTGTCTCTATTTCGCTCTAGTATTTTCTTTCTACTCTCTCTCTCTTTTCGGAGTGTTTGGGTGTAAGGTGGTCACAGCATGGGATTCGTCCGTCTCACGTGTCAGTGGTTATGGCCTCTCTCTCTCTTTTCCCACTTCCCCCTTCCTGGTCTAATATTTGTTTTCTGCGCCGGCAGATTCCTGGTCAGCTTCATGGTGGATGCCCGTGGGGGTTCCATGAGAGGAAGTCGAAGCAATGGCATGCGTATCATCATCCCGCCCCGGAAGTGCACGGCTCCTACCCGCATTACCTGCCGCCTGGCCAAGAGGCACAAGCTGGCCTACCCCCCGCCCATGGTGGAGGGAGAGGGCCTAGTCAGCCGGCTGGTGGAGGTCGGCCCCGCAGGAGCCCAGTTTCTGGGGTAGGTTTTTCCTTTCCCTTCTCGAAGCCACGGACCTCTATTTCATTTTTGCTCTTTGAATGTGAAGATCCACCATTTTGGCTCTAAGGGGGCACTGAACTAGCTCTGGGTGCTCTGCTCCATTCTAGACCTGTGATCGTGGAGATTCCTCATTTCGGCTCCATGAGGGGAAAGGAGAGGGAGCTGATCGTGCTCAGGAGCGACAACGGTGACACATGGAAGGAACACCAGTACGACTGCCATCCAAGTGACATCACAGACATTCTCAACGGGATGGACGAAGGTACGTTACACACAGGTCAACATTGCTAATGTAATTGAATACCCTCTCTGACACATCCAATCATACATACAGTGAGGGAAAAAAGTATTTGATCCCTTGCTGATTTTGTACGTTTGCCCACTGACAAAGACATGATCAGTCTATAATTTTAATGGTAGGTTTATTTGAACAGTGAGAGACAGAATAACAACAAAAATATCCAGAAAAACGCATGTCAAAAATGTTATAAATTGATTTGCATTTTAATGAGGGAAATAAGTATTTGACCCATCTGTTAGTACTTGGTGGCAAAACCCTTGTTGGCAATCACAGAGGTCAGACGTTTCTTGTAGTTGGCCACCAGGTTTGCACACATCTCAGGAGGGATTTTGTCCCACTCCTCTTTGCAGATCTTCTCCAAGTCATTAAGGTTTCGAGGCTGACGTTTGGCAACTCGAACCTTCAGCTCCCTCCACAGATCTTCATTGGGATTAAGGTCTGGAGACTGGCTAGGCCACTCCAGGACCTTAATGTGCTTCTTCTTGAGCCACTCCTTTGTTGCCTTGGCCGTGTGTTTTGGGTCATTGTCATGCTGTAATACCCATCCACGACCCATTTTCAATGCCCTTGCTGAGGGAAGGAGGTTCTCACCCAATATTTGACAGTACATGGCCCTGTCCATCGTCCCTTTGATGCGGTGAAGTTGTCCAGTCCCCTTAGCAGAAAAACACCCTCAAAGCATAATGTTTCCACCTCCCACGTTTGACGGTGGGGATGGTGTTCTTGGGGTCATAGGCAGCATTCCTCCTCCTCCAAACACGGCTAGTTGAGTTGATGCCAAAGAGCTCCATTTTGGTCTCATCTGACCACAACACTTTCACCCAGTTCTCCTCTGAATCATTCAGATGTTCATTGGCAAACTTCAGACGGGCCTGTATATGTGCTTCTTGAGCAGGGGGACCTTGCGGGCGCTGCAGGATTTCAGTCCTTCACGGCGTAGTGTGTTACCAATTGTTTTCTTGGTGACTATGGTCCCAGCTGCCTTGAGATCATTGACAAGATCCTCCCGTGTAGTTCTGGGCTGATTCCTCACGAGGTGAGATCTTGCATGGAGCCCCAGGCCGAGGGAGATTTGACAGTTATTTTGTGTTTCTTCCATTTGCGAATAATCGCACCAACTGTTGTCACCTTCTCACCAAGCTGCTTGGCGATGGTCTTGTAGCCCATTCCAGCCTTGTGTAGGTCTACAATCTTGTCCCTGACATCCTTGGAGAGCTCTTTGGTCTAGGCCATGGTGGAGAGTTTGGAATCTGATTGATTGATTGCTTCTGTGGACAGGTGTCTTTTATACAGGTAACAAACTGAGATTAGGAGCACTCCCTTTAAGATTGTGCTCCTAATCTCAGCTCGTTACCTGTATAAAAGACACCTGGGAGCCAGAAATCTTTCTGATTGAGAGGGGGTCAAATACTTATTTCCCTCATTAAAATGCAAATCAATTTATAACATTTTTGACATGTGTTTTTCTGGATTATTTTGTTGTTATTCTGTCTCTCGCTGTTCAAATAAACCTACCATTAAAATTATAGACTGATCATTTCTTTGTCAGTGGGCAAACGTACAAAATCAGCAGGGGATCAAATACTTTTTTCCCTCACTGTAACATATTGAATATCCTTCATCCATCTATGTTTGTTAATGTGTTCTCCAACAGAACTGGACAGCAATGCTGACCTGGAGAAGAAGCGGATCTGTCGGATTATCACCAGGGACTTCCCCCAGTACTTTGCTGTGGTGTCCAGAATCAAGCAGGAGAGTAACCACATGGGTCCAGAGGGCGGGACTCTGACCAGCCTGACCGTGCCCATGGTCCAGGCCTCGTTCCCACAGGGGGCGCTCACCAAGAAGATACGCGTTGGCCTGCAGGTCTGAACACAAAGTCAATCAGTTAGCTGTACTCTTTAGGAACTCAATTAGTCTCTGTTTTGTGTTAAGCTTTGACCTTATTTTCCAACGTTTTGGCTAAGAGCATGGTTTTGATTCATGATGAGTTGGCTACTTTCATTCTATTGAGATTTTTTTGCATGACATTCTTGTAAAAGATAATGGCTTTTCTCAGTACTACATGTATTTTGCTAATTTGAACAAATGAGAGAGCATTGATTCACCTCTTTCATTCCCCCTTCCCCCCCTCCCTTCAGGCTCAGCCAGTCCCAGATGACATGGTGAGGAATCTCCTCGGCAACAGGGCCACCTTCAGCCCTATCGTTACCGTGGAGCCCAGGAGGAGGAAGTTCCACAAGCCCATTACCATGACGATCCCTGTCCCGCCCCGATCGGCAGAGGGCCACCCCAGTGGACCCAGGGGGGACTCCACCCCCTGCCTGCGCCTCCTCTGCAGCATCACAGGCAAGTCCATGTTTTGAACAACCTCTGTGGCTGAGAACATACCTCCATTGAAATTGGTTCAGACCTTCAATGATAACAAGGTTCACTCCTACTTGGAGACAGGATGGGAGGACAGGGTTTGCAGTAGGTGGAAATGAGGCTAACCAGGGATGGGGATTTGTCTTTTCTTGTGGTTTTCCAACCAGGTGGAACATCTCCTGCCCAGTGGGAGGACATTACAGGGACCACTCCGCTGTCCTTCGTCACAGACTGTGTTTCCTTCACCACAAACGTGTCGGCCAGGTAAGGCCATGCTTTCTCACATGCTCCCAACCAGTTAACACGCTACCCAGGACTATTTGCTACCCGGACTAGAGCCTGATATTACCAGAGAGCACTGCTTGGCTTTAGTCAGTAGATTATTTTAGTCATATGCCTCAGCACTTTTCAATGTGAGACCAAGCTGATATGATTTAGACCTTAGACCTTCATTGGGAGGGTTGCTAGGCTGCAGAATATCCTCTGATTTGATTAACATGGCGATTTGAAATATGAATCAACTATTTTTGTGCGAGCTGGTGAATATATTTTAGAGCATAGTATGGAGGTGAACGTTTCAGCTCAGAGCTATATACTATCACCCATCCAAACAATACATGTCATTTAATGTAGTAAGAACCAATTCTTCTTACTCCAAGAGTAAGCTATAATACGGCATTTGTATTGAAAGTGTAGCCACCCACTCATTGGCAAGTCCGTGGATTTAGGTCAGTGGTTATCATCAAAGCTTTGCGAAGCTTTTGTATGCATTATAATGTTTATGGCCCCATCAACCAAGCTCTTGCCAAAAATACACTGGTTGGCTTCAACATCCATATTAAGCATTACTTATCCCCTCTGTTTCTTCCTTACCTCCAGGTTCTGGCTTGCAGACTGTCACCAGATTCCTGAGACGGTCGTTCTGGCCTCTCAGCTATACCGGGAGCTGATCTGTGTGCCATACCTGGCCAAGTTTGTGGTGTTTGCCAAGATGAACGATCCTGTTGAGTCACGCCTCCGCTGCTTCTGCATGACGGACGACAAGGTGGACAAGACTCTGGAACAACAGGAGAACTTCGAAGAAGTGGCCAGAAGCAAAGACATCGAGGTGGGTCTGACTTGCACCAACACACTTGTCCGCACACACACACAAAATATGTTGACACAGGTCACAGATACATGGTTTATCTGAATTGACATGACAATGATTTTACAGGTCTTGGAGGGCAAGCCTATACATGTGGATTGCTATGGCAACTTATCTCCTCTTACCAAGAGTGGGCAGCAGCTGATCTTCAACTTCTTCTCTTTCAAAGAGAACCGGCTTCCATTCAATGTGAAGGTAGTGTCACGTTTTCATCCTCCTCTTATATGTAATAAGGTCACACTTCTATTATAGAGGTATGCCAGAGTTTGATCGTCCTTCAAACATGCTGACATGTAAGCTCTAATGCTCATTTCAAACATGCTGACATGTAAGCTCTAATGCTCATTTCAAACATGCTGACATGTAAGCTCTAATGCTCATTTCAAACATGCTGACATGTTGTAAGCTCTAATGCTCATTTCAAACATGCTGACATGTTGTAAGCTCTAATGCTCATTTCAAACATGCTGACATGTTGTAAGCTCTAATGCTCATTTCAAACATGCTGACATGTTGTAAGCTCTAATGCTCATTTCAAACATGCTGACATGTTGTAAGCTCTAATGCTCATTTCAAACATGCTGACATGTTGTAAGCTCTAATGCTAATTTCAATTTTTGACACGTATTACTTTTTTAAGCACCAAAAAAAATAATGTCAGTCTACTCTAGGGCTGTTCAATGTGGGTCCTGGAGGGCCGAAACACTTCAGGTTTTAATCCTCTCCTTCTAATCAGGGACTACTTCAGACCTGGGACACCACATGAGTGCAATTAACTACCAGGTAGAAACAAAAACCAGAAGTGTTTCGGCTCTCCAGGACCGGAATTGAATAGCCCTGATCTACTCTATTGTATATCTTGTATAGAAATCGATTAATGTTTTTATTGGACATGTGTTGTTGCTCCTTAGGTCAGAGACATGGGCCAAGAACCATGCGGTCGACTCTCATTCTTGAAAGAGCCGAAAACCTCTAAAGGTCTTCCGCAGACTGCCATATGCAATTTGAATATCACACTGCCAACTCATAAGAAGGTAGGTGGATATTTGAATGATATATTCTCTGGGCCATATCATGTCATCCTCATGTAAATGAATTGAATAACCGAGTACAGTAACAGCAGTGATACCAGAGTGGAGATGTTGACCTCCGTTTGGTTAGAATGCCTGCTGCTTGTGTCTTTTATTGCCAATGCCAATTATATTCCCCCACAAAAACACACATTCAGTCATACACATTATGTTACTCATTTGCCTGGCTCAAAGTGTGGCAGAGTAATATGCCTACATTATGGTGGCATTTCTTTATGTGGTGTTCAAAAACTCTGAATTACATTACTTTTTGCTTATTTTCTGGGTCTTTGGTGGGCTGTGGACTATTTAATTATATGGCTTTTTCTAAGCCCATATGGTTTGCTGCCCTCAGCTGCTCCATTTTCATTTTCCGATGTTTATTTCCAACCACACCCATTATAAACCACCCGCTGTCATTGTGTCATCTTTCCCCTTCTCTGCAATGCATCTTGGGAACAAACAGGACATGATGGAGTCTGATCCTGATGATGAGGTAAATACATGATTGTTCATCACACGGACTGCTTTGTGGTTTTTCCGTTCCTTTATTATTGTGAACGCTAGCATCGATAGTGTATATGAATGTGTGGTGATTATCGTTTTTTGATTGATGATATATAGAGGCTTTTGCAGCAGATATGAATCTATATCATTGCTTAGAAGTCAACTGACTTTGTGTAATGCATGAATGACAGTTCAATTCAACGGGTTTCATTATTATTGTCTTCATCCCAAGCCACGTGGAGCAATTTGTGTACCACACCCCATCTTATTTTCCATATGAGTTGAGTAGGTAGGCTAGTAGAAAACACCATCCCACTGTACACACAGTACAGAAGATGACGACAATGTTTCATGTTTCATAGCTATAGCTCAGTGTTTTCCTTCATTTACATTGTCTCATGATCTCGAAAGAACATTCATCCATGACTAATGGAGTGAGTCCTCCTCTTTAGATCATTTATTTTAGAGATCGGCTGCATTCTCAGTGTCAGCTTGTGGACAACTCAACGGAGTTCTCCAAATCTAATAATCGCATATTGCATGTGTTTCTTCAAAATTAGATAGATAAATGCACTTTAAACTATCCAATCAGAGGAAAGCATGGATATTTTAGTCATCAGCCGAAGGTGACTTACAACACAATCACCTGCAGTGCCTACTATCTCAACAACATGCATCATCTTGATTTTATTTCAAAACCACAAAATGGGAGAAATTCTGGCAGTAGTGTGAAAAAAGGAAGATACTTTTTTGGCCTTTAAATCCAATCTATATTTTATGTTAAAACATATTTTGTTGTTTTTGTTGTTGCAGACTGAAAAACCAGACCGACGTCATACCTTTGCCTCCTTAGCTTTGCGTAAGCGCTACAGCTATCTGACCGACCCTGCAGCGAGTGAGTTTAACATTTTTACTTTCATAAATCCTCAATTGATGCAAAATATCAATAACGTTGTACAACTTCATATGCAGTGTAAGATATTGCCTTTATGATATATCCATACATCCATAGTGTAGAATTATGAGCACTTTGCATACTGTCATCATACACATCATGATTCATATCCATCCACGACAACACTTGCATGGTTTACTGTGTCTTATACTTTGCAGACCCTCTCCATTTTGTGAAAAATATTTTCCTGTTTTTTGTTGTCTCATCACATTTGAGGGAAAACAACTGGCATTGCAACATCCAAATGCTAATTTATTATTTTTTAATTGATTTTGAACCTTGTGTCAAATTAAATTATTATCTTGTATCTTTTTCATTCTTTTGAAGAACACCTCACTCTTATGGGCTTTGTGATTGTTCAAGGCCTTTCATTTTGTGTGAACCAATCAATAAGTGAAACCTTGAGACAATTATTGCACCAATAATCTACTAAAAGGATTGTGGGGTCATTTCTGGCATTGAATATGATCATGAAGTGCATCGAGCATATAAAAGGCACTGTAGCAAAAAGGCAAACAGACAAAGCACATTGAAGGTCAAATAGAATGGTTGTGTTGTTGTCTTGGTACGTTTCTAATATTTTCTTCTCCACTGTTCGAAATCGCAAGCATTTTGTTGCCTCATATGCTTCATCATGTGTTATCTTGTATCTTTTCTATTTATGACAGTTCATTGACCTCGAACAATCACTTTTCATCCCATCTTTGTTTAGATAGTAATTGACGTTGCATAAATGCACCATTGTATTATTCTTACTGCTTTGATTAATATTGGCCTACTGACTCCAACTTTCTCTTTCTGGTTTTTCTGTTTTATTATTTAAATTATTTTTTGTTGAATTTATGTTCAATCTTTGGTTTGGTTATTCAAGAAACAACTGATCGGAGCTCGCCGAGAACACAGCCTACTGGCTACGCTTACAAACCTGTCTTTTCAACGAGATCTTATCAGGCGTGGTCGGCTGTTCCTATCTCCGTCCCTGAGCAAGCCAAGTCTGGGTTCGGTTCCCACTCCAGTTCATCGTCCAACACGCCCAATGCCTCTCCACTGAAGTCTGTGTGGTCCATCACCTCAGCGTCCCCCATCAAGTCCAACATAGGTGGCTCGTCGGCCCATTCCATCAAGTCAGTCAGCGACGTAGCTTCCCCCATCAGGTCGTACAGGACTATTTCATCCCCAATTAAGACTGTAGTTCAGCAGACCCAGTACCCAGTTCAGGTCACCGCCAGTCTCCTGTCATCGCCAGTCAGAAGCGTCCCAGACCCCATTTCCATCAAGGAACTGGCAGCATTGTCTTCTAGAACCTCTCCTATCACCAGTGGTGGAGGGTGTCTGCTAGAGAGGTCATCAATCGCCATGAGCCCACCTGCTTCCCCCAAATCCTCACTGAAAATGTACAGTTCAACTCTGCCATTCAAGGGTGTCATGGTGGGCACTGGCGCCACAGCATCGTCCTCTCCAATAAAAACTGTTCCTGGCCTCAACTCTGTCCGGTCCAGTGCAGACCCCTTAAGTCTATTTTCCTCCCTTTCCTCACCAATTAAATCCAACACTCCTCCTAGTGCTGCAGCTCTGATCAATGGAACAGTATCCCCTACAAAGTACCGCTCCTCCTCTCCCACGTCCCTACTCTCCAGCAGCTTACAGGAGAGGATACAAGCAACCACCAATGCAGCAACGACAAGCGTAAATGCAGCCTTTGACGAGGTTGAAAAGACTTTCAATTCCTGCTCTGCCTCTGGATATGGAACTCTGAAGTCCGTGTCCTCCTCAGCGTCATCTTCTTACCAATCCATAAGATCCTCAGCCTCTAGTTCCCTATATGCCTCTCTAAGGTCCCCACCGAACTCTACCACCACTGTCACATCTGGCACCATGACTGTCCCAGTGTATTCGGTTATAAATGTGTTGCCAGAGCCCCAATTTAAAAAGCTCCCTGAGGTGTCAACGCCAGCTGCTGCCCTCTTCTCCTCTCGAAAAACTATGCCTGCTGAGACAAACTCTCAAGCCCAGTCTTCCTTTGCCAGAACTCTGTCACCTGTCAAATCCCCCTTATTCATGCCCCCGGCTGCCCTAAAATCCACCACCTCATCCCCGCTGTCCTCCAGCCAAGAGATACTGAAGGACGTGGCAGAAATGAAAGAGGACTTGATACGGATGTCTAACATCTTGCAAACAGAACCAAGTTCAGCCTCCAAAGGTTTCCAGTCTGACTCTCCCAAAGAGGCTAAAATAGAGGACGAGGAGCCTTGCAGAATTGTAGAGAAAGTGAAACAGGACCTGGTCAAAGTTAGTGAGATACTGACCAAGGATACGGTCAAGGATAGCAAGACAGCTATTAAAATGAATACAACAGATGAGGTGCAGTGCTCTAAACAAGCACCAGTGGATCCCCAGCCAAGCAACTGGAGTTATCCACCAAGATATGAGACAGTGGTTCCTCAAATCAAAACTAAGACTATACCAGACAGAGATTTCAATCTATTGAAGGTAGTAGACTACTTGACAAATGACATGGGCAGTGGCTCTATCTCAAAAACTGCAGATGCAAAGCATAGATCTGATGAGGTTAGAAGGGAAGGAGAGGAGAAACAAAAACGAATGCTTAAACCTGAGCACAAGCTGAAAATGCCACCCGCAAACATGCGGTCCTCTGCCTCAGAAAAGGAGCTCTGTAAACTAGCAGATGTGCTATTTGGGCCTGATGCCATGTTAGAATCTCCAGATGACATCTCACATGACCAGGACAAGAGTCCCCTCTCAGACAGTGGCTTTGAGACAAGGAGTGAAAGGACGCCCTCTGCACCACAGAGTGCGGAAGGCATGGGACCCAAGGCACTTTTCCAGGATATTCCACCAGTAATCACTGAGACAAGGACTGAGGTTGTTCATGTTATTAGGAGCTATGAGTCTCCTGAAGATAACAAGCAACCAATGATGGAGGATACAAGGGCGGTTAGATACATTGATGCTGAACCCAAAGGGCTGAATGCATCCAATGTGGACCAAACTAAATCATTTCAGATGAAAATCAGCCCGGACGATGACTCAATGGGCAAGAGCATGCGGGTGAAGGAAGAGACCCACATCACGACTACCACCCGAATGGTGTACCACAAACCCCAGAGTAAAGAGAATACATCAGAGAGGATGGAAGAATCAATGTCAGTGCATGATATAATGAAAGCTTTCCAGTTAGGCAGGGATCCCTCCAGAGAACTTGCTGGACTGTTTGAGCACAGGGCCGGCAATGATGACACATCGCAGAGGGATATAAACTCAAAGCCCAAAGTTGAAAGAATAATCGAGGTTCACATTGAAAAGGGTAACAAAACTGAACCAACTGAGGTCATCATCCGGGAAACAAAAAATGACCCAGAGAAGGAGATGTATTTCTACCAAGGGAACAGTGGACTGTCACGACAGGGAGAGGAGGAGACTGAAGAATCGCTCCCCTGTTACCTAGAGTCTTCCAGAGTAAACACACCCATGTCACAGGAAGACGACAGTCGTCCAAGCTCTGCACAGCTCATGGCAGATGACTCGTACAAAGCCCTGAAGCTTCTCAGCCAGCACTCAGTGGAATATAATGATGATGAATCATCAGAACTCAGAGGGGAGTCCTACAACTTTGCAGACAAAATGCTTCTCTCTGAGAAACCAGACTCTTCTCACTCTGACACCGAGGAGTATTTGAGGGACAGGTCTCGTTTTCACTCCCCAGATAGGAGTAGTTATAGTCAGGGACGGTCTAATGGATCAAGGCAAGAATATATTTTGAGGTCATCAAACACCGACAAATCAGGTCAAATTGCCAATGTAGACGATAACTTTGACAAACTAACACTATTGCAGTATTCCTCAGAACCTGGTAGCCCAAAGCACTCTGTTTGGATGCGTGTCACTGATGACAGACAGAGCCAGAATAGAGAAAAGCTCATCTATGAAGACAGAGTAGACAGAACTGTTAAGGAAGCAGAGGAAAAGCTTAGCGAAGTCTCTCAGTTTTTTCGTGATAAGACAGAGAAACTGAACGATGAGCTCTCATCCCCTGAGAAGAAGTCCCGCAGGTCAGACTTTAGGGAAACACGATCTGGGCCTAGCTCTACGCACAGCAGTCCTGAAAGATCAGCATACAGGAATGGGAGCAGTGGTGAAGAATGTAGAGACCGTTTCAGAGACAGGTTTGGCTCCAATGATAGAAAATGTGCTAGTTTACCAAGCAGCCCAGAGAGGAGAGTGCTGCTACAATATAAGGATGACAATAGAAAACCAGGGGATGGCATCTCACAGGGCAATGCGGGTGATGCCTCTAAACCTTTTCAAATGTCATCCTCCAAAGTCAGCGCTGTTAGGCTACAATTTGAACAAGAGGCTCAAAAGCAAGATACGGGTCCACAATGGGGACAAACGTCAAATCCCCCAGTAAGAAAACTCCAGGAAAGTAAGTTGCCTGTGTATCAAGTTTTTGCAGGCTCAAATATCCCCAAATCACCAGACAGTCCAGCATGTACCAGGAAGGTTCTAGAAAGTGAGGTAAGAGGATCTAGTGGACAAAGCCCCAGTGCTAATAGGTATATTTACTCATCTCCTAAACACGGCACAAACGGAAATGAACAGGAAGAAAAAAAGTCCTTCAAAACTTGGGAATGTCATGGAAATGGAAACTATAAACCCCAAGTGTCAAAACTAGCTCACACGTTAGTTCAAGATGCGCATGCCAATGACAGCAATTCACAAAGAAAACTTCAGGGCTTTAGAGATGGGATAACCAGTAAAGAAGAGACAACCCAAAAAACAATTTACACAGAGCTTGTGGTCCGAGAAAACCCAAATAGTAGTGATGTACGTACTGGTAGTCTAAAAAAAAACTCGGAATCGCAAATTCCTGTTAGAATGCCGTGTAGTTTCTCAGAGAATCAGCAATCCACATCATTAAAATTAGATACATCTGTTAAACTGTGTGAAAGGGCAGGATCACAAATACCTACTTTAGCTAGAAATCGGTTACACAGCGGCTCTGAAGCCAACAAATCTACAAACGACTCATCAGTAGAAAAATCCTCAGATTCTTATGATAGTAGTCAGTCAACTGTAGTATGTAATGGTATAGATAGCGACCAAGTAGAGTACTTGGAAAACGTAACCCCTGTAGTTGTCACTGAGGGTTTCAAAGACATCAAACCGTTGCCAGTTTATGTTAGCATCCAAGTGGGCAAGCAATATGAAAAAGAAACAACTGGTCTGCTGGGAACATACCAAAAGATAGTGAGTCACGAGAGCCGAACAGTGCACGAGACACGGGGAGCATTTTATACCGTCAAACAAAAACAACCCCCATCTCCTCAAGGCAGCCCAGAGGATGACACTCTAGAGCAAGTTACTTTCATGGACAGCTCTGGCAAGAGTCCTGTTACTCCTGAGACACCAAGCTCTGAGGAGGTGAGCCTTGCCTCCAGAAAGACAGATTCCGTGATTGGATATATGCCCGGCATGCCCAGTCCAATAGCAGAGGAGTCTGAGGAAGACGAAGGAAAGACCTGCATCTACAGGGAGTCTCTGCCGGAGAAAACCAAGCCTGCCTCATCAGAACCCTCCATCAGAAACCAGGAAACAGTGAAACGACCCAAAGAGAAACGAGTCGCTTACATTGAGTTTCCCCCACCTCCGCCTTTAGAGGCAGAGCATTCTGACCCTGAGAAGAGGGGGTCTTGTGCCTCCTCAGAGGCTGAGACAGAGATGATGGAGGTGAACCTCCAAGAGGAGCATGATCAGCACCTCCTTGCAGAGCCCATCATCAGGGTTCAGCCTCCCTCTCCAGTTCCCCCTGGAGCAGACGACAGCGACTCTAGTGATGATGAGTCTATCTTCCATCCCATCCCCAACAAAAAGTACACCTTCAAGATGAAGGAGAAGGAGGAAGGAGAGAAGCGTCTTAAACCCAAAAAGCCGGAGAGGAACGGAAACAACAAGGAGTCAGGCACTAATGGCGTTGTAAAAGCAGAGGAGGAAGACTTGGAGCAAAATGGCAATGACCAGTCAATCACAGACTGCTCCATAGCCACAACTGAGTTCTCTCATGACACAGATGCTACTGAAGTAGACTCTCTCGATGGCTATGACCTTCAAGATGAGGATGATGGGTTGAGTGAACAAGACCCTAAGACATCCAGCCTGTCCAATGACGGCAAGACATGTGATCGTTCCTTCAGTCAATCAAAGCTTGAAGTCATAGAGGAGGAGAAAACACCAAGTGAGGATGGAGGGGATAATGGGAAAGCAAACTCTGACCAAAACACAGGAGATGAAAAAGACTACACTCTTGAGGGAAGACATCCAGATAGACAGGGCGATAGACAAGGCTTTGCAGATAACTTATTTGGCTATCAACTCGAAGAGGAGTTAAACTCTACCTTCAAAACTGTCGCCACGAAAGGCTTAGACTTTGACCCCTGGTCAAGCAAAGGCGGAGAAGGAGTTTTTGATGCCAAAGCGAAAGAAGAAGATCCCAAGCCTTTCGGTTTGTCTGTGGATGACAAGTCGCAAGGCACCACTCCAGACACTACCCCTGCTAGAACCCCGACTGATGAGAGCACACCGACTAGCGAGCCTAACCCTTTCCCCTTCCACGAGGGGAAGATGTTTGAGATGACGCGCAGTGGTGCAATTGACATGAGCAAGCGGGACTTTGTTGAAGAGAGGCTTCAATTTTTCCAGATTGGTGAGCATTCCTCTGATGGGAAATCAGGGGACAAGGGGAGAGGGGGCAAGAGTCCAGGGGTAGTTACCTCTCAGTCAAACACAGGGGAGAGGGGTGAAGGGGTGAAGGTAGAGACTGCCACAGACAGCAGCACATCAGCAAAGTGCAGCCCTGCACAGACTGGCACTGGCTGTAGCGATGCTCCTTCTGGTGTCACTGTAGCCGAGAACACATCCTCATGCACGATTACGGCCTCTAAAGTTGACCCCAAATTACGCACCCCCATTAAGATGGGAATAGCCGTCTCCATTACAGTGAAAAAAGACTCAGGGGATCTCACAGAATGTAAGGCAGAGATGTCAGAAAGTCAGATGGCAGAGTACATTACCTTGGAAAACCAGTCAGAGGAGAGTCAATCTAGCAGATACACAGACCCAAAGCTGTCAGAAAGAAGAGATTACCCAGCAGAGAACTGCAATAACAACAATAACCTTGAGTCCTCGAGCGTACAGGCTAACTATATACAGTGTGGCAGCGTAGTGTTTAATTTGCAGTCGTCTTCTGAACCCACACTTCAGAAAGCCAGTAGGATTGAAGCTTTGTTCTGTAGTGACTCTGTAGAGAGAGTAGAAGAAAGCAGTGTTCAGGCTGAACAAAGACAAAGTGAAGCCATCAAGGAAGCTGAGACAAAGCAGCAAAAGTCTAGGCTGCCTGTCAAAGCGCCAGGGTGGTCTTTTCATACACAAGGCACAGCAATAGGGAAGCAAAAACCCAAACAGGTTGTCAAGGCTGAGGTCAGGAGAAGAGCAGAGCCTGTCATTGCCAAAGTAGAGCCCAGGTCTAGAATCCCAATCAAAGATATTAAAAAGAGCAGCACAACCAGCTCCCCAATATCAGTGCAGGTAACAGCTCAGTCTACCAGGGAGAGAGTAGCCATACAGTTACCCTCCAGGTTCTCCATTAAAAACAGCTCGGCAGGTGAGACGAGTAGGGAAAACGCCAGCGAGGTTTGTAAACGCACCATCGAGTACTTTAAGGGCATTAGCGGGGAGACGCTAAAGATGGCCGACCGCCTGTCAGACGAAGAGAAAAAGACACAGGGAGAACAGTCCGAGGAAGACAGCACCTCCAGGAGCACCTCTCTGTCGGCCCCCTCTCAGCCCTCCCGCTCGTCGAGGTCTGGTAGAGGCTCGAGAGCTGAGGCCGGGGCCTTGTCCGTAAGGGCAAAGGTCGACAGGGCCTCCGGCAGTGAAAGGAGCAGGAGGAGTAGGCGGACTGGTGGGAAGGAGGGCAGTCAGGTTGCGGGGCATCGGGCGCCCCCCGTCGCGGAGATCAAGCCTAGTTTGTAAAACTTTCACACTTGTTAAAACCTTAGTTGCATGAAGTCGTTGTGATTGATTGCCTGTGGCGTGTTTATTCTCTTCAAGTAATAGCCGTCATTCTGTCATCGTCATCTATGTACTGTGTACTGTACTTGTCCTTGTCAGACTCCTCCTTCTCCCCCCAACCCCTTAGTTGTCAGATACCGCAGCATGCCAGAGTAGTGACTGGTGCACTGGCACAGCCAGTCTCCTGTTGACGGCTACTGAGTCTGTCTGTGCAGGGTGGCTACTGAAAACAGCAATTCTAGTTTATTCGATTTCATGTTCAAGTTGTGTCACTGAGCTAATTAGCCTTAGCAAAAACACAAAGGCTGTCCGCATGTGTACTGTGTAGTCCCATTAAGAACTGTGAATCCACTAGAGCTCCTACGAGTACATTACTCTTTTGACCCATGTTTTTACTTTATTTTGTTTGTATAGTTCTAATGAGAATTACTGCCTGCTTTGAGGATACATATTCACAAACATTCACAGAGCACCTGTGTCCAAATAACACACTGTAGTCCGTCAAATAGAGTCTAGTCTACCTTTTCTTGCCATTCTGGAAACTAAATCTGAAGTGTTGTCAGCCTAACCAAGCCATTGAATAATACTATTCACATTCACAGTAAACATGTTGATTAAACATGTCTATATCAAACCCAGAGGAGAAGTTCCAAACACTGTTTGAATTTATATAATTTGGAAAATACCACGCTTGGCCAGAAAAGGAAAGAGTCCTCTGTACTCCTATTTCAGTCAGTAGAAAAGATACTGAACAGTGTTGATTAATAGATGTTCTCTGCCCTTCAGGTCCTCAGAGTCCCTGTGAGCGAACAGACCTGCGGATGGCCATCGTGGCCGACCACCTGGGACTTAGCTGGACTGGTAAGGAAATGGTGCTCCCTGGTCTCAGTGCCATCTGGCTTCATGGCTGCCTATCCTCCTGCTTTCTCCTCTCTCAAGAAACCAACACTGATATTATTGTGAGGAAACAGTGCCCTCTTCAGAGTGACACTTCCTGCACTGAAATCTGCATACTCATGTGTGTCCAGTAAGCCTGTATGATATAGAAATGGATGTCTTGAACTGATGTGATGTAATGTATTTTTTGATGCGTTTGCAGAGCTGGCTCGGGAAATGGACTTTTCTGTCGACGAGATCAACCACATCCGAGTGGAGAACCCCAACTCCCTGACAGCGCAGAGCTTCATGCTGCTAAAGAAATGGGTCAGCCGGGACGGTAAAAACGCAACGAGTGAGTGTCCCTCTTTCTCCCAAATGTATTTCTACCCCGTGGCTTTCTGTTAAGAGTTCTTCTATCACATGTCTCACTCTATTGCACTTGTGTGATTGTGTACCACAGAGCCTCACAACCTCTTTCATCCCCCTCTTCTGATCTCTCTCTCTCTCCCGCTTAATACGTGTCTGTGAAGGTTTTATAGTGAATTACATTCTGAGATGACTTATGTAGAAGCAGAATGGCCTCTGTTTATTAAGATTCCTAGTGCAGTTGTCTTTCAGCTGCATATGAAGTCACCTATCTTTGTCATGCTCCGGCAGTCTTTTAGAAATACTCAGGACATTGTGTTCAGGACATGAAAAGGTCATTTGGCCTCTTTTCCTTGTACAAGAGAAGAGGACAATGGCAATCCTCTTTTCACCTTCACACACTGCAGTGTGATAGTAAACTATTTATATTGATTACCTCGTAAGAGTTATGACAATGAAAACATCTGGATTAAGGACCAGTGCGTATTGTACAAACCACTTGCTATATTGTACAACAGTGTCTTGTATTTGTTTGACTGACTTTCCGTTGTCTGTTTTTCTTACAGCGGATGCCTTAACTGGAGTGCTGACCAAAGTCAATCGGATGGATATTGTGACTTTACTGGAGGGGCCGATATTTGACTATGGTAACATTTCAGGCACGAGAAGTTTTGCCGATGATAACGCTGTTTACCTGGATCAGGCTGATGGTAAAGTTTAGCTCCATCTAGCTGACCTCTTACCTCTGCTGCCTCCTCTTTTGTTTTTGCCTTAGTACTGTAGCAAAAATAAGAACAAATTGCCTGGCTATACTATTGAATGCAATTTGCCTATAGTGACTACAGCACCCTATCTTAGATAGGGCGATGTCTGACCCTTAGTTTCCTGCTTTATTTTCAGCTTTAGTCTACCCATTTTCTGACATGCACTCAAATGAGTGTGAGGAAATTTTAGCATGCAGAGTACCATGGGTTCACTTTTAACCTAGTCAATTCAGGGAATTTATTATAATTCACTTTTTGGAATGACTGGGTTGCTATTAAATTGACACCAACCCTGATGATGAAGGTAGCAGGTTAAACCCAAAACTTTTCTAGAGATGTCTTGATTGACATGACCCGATTAGCACTTTGATATGAGTTAATCCCTCTAAAAATCTAATTGCGTTTGTGCATCAAGGGTTTTGAAAGATGAATTGATGACAAACACTAAAACAATCCATGATGCTAACCAGTTGCATGCTGTAACACACTGCTTTTACCTGCTTACCTTACTACTGTATAAACCCTTTGTTCCCTAATGCATGGGACTGAACAGAAAGTCTGTACTCATCTATACCTCTAGATCTGTTTAGTCCACAGTACCTCCAGTTCCTCTGAGCCCTCCCCGGATAGAATGACAGAGCTTCCTCCTCTGTGGAACCAGACTACCCACATGCTCTCATCCATCACCAAAGCCCAACCTCCAGGGCAGCTTATAACAGCTCTTAACCGCTTATTAAGAGTTGTGTGCTGTCATCTCTGCTCTTCCCTTCCCTGCCTCCTAATCTCTCAAAATCACCTCTCTGTCCTGTCTTGCTAACACGTTTTTGTTTGCTGTTAGCTTTTTTGTATGTCTTTGTTTCGCTTTAATCGTCTTGTATCCTCACCTGTAGCATGCTTTGCTGTTCCTGAGAGCTCCTCCATATCTGCATTCCCAGTTTCTCCCTCGATTGAGAATCATTCCCTAAACCCTGATTCCTCCTTGGTCTTGCAGACCTCCACACCCCACTCCCTTACTAAGTTCACACCCCCACATCGTCCATTATCTCCCAGCCGATCCCCAAGTTATGGGTCCTCTGTCTTACCCCCGTCCCCACCACCTGATCCAGCAACCTCTCCTCTTCCATGTCTCCTTCTCATCCCCCAGTCTTCAAGTCTTCAACCCACTAGGGACCCCAGTCAACCCACACACCTGTCCTCTACTCCTATACCCCAGCTAATTCCCTCATCTCCTCCTCAGTCACCAAGTCTTAAACCTACTGGGACGCCACAGCCTTCTCCTCTACTCCCACCCCCCAGCTCTCTCCCGATGTGACCCCATGCCGGTTCCTCAGTGTTGAATCATTAGAAACCCCATTTCCCCCTTTGTCCCACCCCCTCCTTTGCCGTCCTCCCCCTAATATCAGCTTCAGGGTCTCGCTGCCCTAGTCCTGGCCCTTCCTCCCCTCCCATCTGTTCCCTGTCCCCCTGTCCTGTGTGTCAGTGTCCCTCTGTGTCAGTGTCCCTGTGTTCCCTGTGTGTCAGTGTCCCTGTGTGTCAGTGTCCCTGTGTGTCTCCCGTACCTTCTCCTTCAGCTCCTCTCCCTTGGGTTCGCATCTACCCCTCTAACCTAGAAATATTCATCTAGGCCCCCTCACCCTCTCCTATCTTCGGTTATCTTTTCTGTGTGAGCATGACCCACTCAAATCTTATCTAATAAAACCCACTCATCGCACATATGCAAAATCATATTCCTAGCACGCCTCACATAGATTATTTATTTCTGTTTTGTTTTCTTATCTCATCTCAAAGGCTGCATATGAATCCATCCCTTTAACAGAAGAAAACAAAACTTGTCATAAAACTGTTAAAAGCTGTGATGGACAAAAGTATTGATCGTTTTTGTCCGTGTAAATATACTTTTCTTATCACAATTTTACCTTGAGTTTCTCAAAGATAGCTCTCAAGTGAATCAAAAGTACTGCATATTGTGCTGGAGATTTGTGACAGTGTCCCCTCTGAGTGTCACCACAATTAGTGGATGTTTTGTTGCATGCTCTATTGTCCGTCTCTGTGCATTTGTCCATGTGGTGTGTGTGGTTTATGTGGGATGTCTTGTGTCAAGTGCTTCCATGTGCTTATATCATCTCCCAACAGATGATCACAGCATCCTAGTGGAGCTGCAGTCCCCAGCCCAACTGCACTCTGACCCTCCCTTCACGGAGCTCCACTCTCAACCCCCTACCCTCACCATCGACCCCACCCCTGTCCAGCTCCATCCAGACCCCCCTACCCTCATCCTCACCCAGTCTGAGCCCTGGACTGACCACATGGAGCCTAGTGTGGACCCTGACACCTCCACTAGGACCCCCCATAGGCCCTGTGAGCTGTCCCTGTCCATTCCCACCCTTCACTTAGATCCCACCGCTGCCAGCAACACAGGAATGGCTGAAGGTGACCAGGTGCTGATGGTAGAAGAAGAGAAAAAGGAAGTGGACATAAGCCTCCAACAGCAGGAGGACAGCAGACAGACATGGGCATCAGAGGAGGTGGCTGAGGAGGAGGTGGCGGAGGAGGCTGAGGAGGAGGAGGAGGAGGAGGGGGCTGAGGAGGTCGTAAAGGGAGGTGGTGAGGAAGGGGTAGAGGCGGGTGAGATGGCAGAAGAGGGGGATAAAGTGGTAGAAGCTAAGAATGGGGCTAAGGTGGTGGTGGAGTGGGGTAAGGCAGTAGAGAATGGGGCTGAGGTGGTGGTGGAGGGGGGTAAGGCAGTAGAGAATGGGGCTGAGGTGGTGGAAGAGGGGGGTGCATACCTCTCCCCTCAGGCCTGGGCTGAGGCGTTGGGGGAGCAGGGTGTGTCTGGTTCCACCGAGGAAGAGGATGGAGACGAAGACGAGATGACAGAAGATAAGTTAAAGTCACTGTTGGAGGATATTAATTTGGAGGAAGGCTCAGAGGAGGAGAACGAGGAAATTACGGAGGCCAGGGTTCAGGAGATTCTTAGTCAGGTGCAACAGGCAGAAAAAGACGTGTGTTCACTTCCAGGTTGGCACAGTGACACTTCCAGCGTCAACGTGGAGCCGCCCACACCTGGCCGCAGTGTGAGCTCAGACCTGCTAGACCGCCAGGAAAATAGGTACACAAAACTAAATTATTCCATCACAGTTATGGATTAAGGATAAATACACTTTCATGTAAATCTACAACTGGGATTTAATATCTTCGCTTCAGTCTTTCTGCCTTCGTCACAATTTAATCAGTCAATTTGATACCAACCCCATCCTATTCTCAATCTAACTCTTTATCTTAGTCAATGTTGATCTCAATCTGAATCGTAATCCTAAACCATTAATCTGAGTTTTAATCTAAATCTCAAATGTACCCTTTTTCCTAATCTCTCCCCACAGCCAGGAGAACTCCAGTGACTCCATCACCTCTTCCTCTAGAGGGGAGCCAGGGAGGTCTAGGCACAATGGCGATCACACGGAGCTACCACCTCAGGACGGGTCACTTCCTGTACCGCAGGACTCAGCCAACGGAAGAACTGGACATGGGAAGGAAGAAGGCACACTTGTGTCTGAGAAGAAAGTCCAGGTAAATACAAAGATTATGTAAGATACTATACTGTAAGTGTTTTGGTAGAATGTGTGTCTACTACAGTGAATACTGCTCATCAGGTACATCACTGTTGTTTCATTTTTACAGTGAACCATGAAGTGGATGTCTATACTTTCAAATCAACTGTAAATTTAACTGGACCTTTTTTTTCCCAGAAGTGCCATTGTTTATTATTATAGAAGAACTTTGGGATTGTGTGACGCAAAAAATATTCTCTCCCACCTACGTATTTTCTGTTCCCATCCCTTTCTCACTGTCTGTAATGTTGCTTAACTGCATTCTTCAGCAGCGTTTTAGTGAGTCCGGTTCTGACGAGGAACGGACCGTCACCACCAGGGTGTTTCGGCGCCGGGTCATTCTTAAGGTACCCTGCTGAGACTGGGTGAAGGTTTGGTTTAGGTTGGCGATAGATAGTTCATCTGTCTTTGCCTCCTGGTGTGCAGTGGACTGGTGTGGCTTAACTGACAGCAAGCAGTGGGAGAAAAAGGAAACGTCTGAAGTTTGTGTACGGTGTGTGTACAGTGTTTGAATGGTGTGTGTGCGAGCGTGTTAGTGTGTCCTGGCCTGGTAACCTGCTTTCATGGCTTGACTTTAATCAAGGAAAATGTTGTGTCTCACTGTTGCCTCTGTGATGCCATTTAAAGGGACACGTCACTTTCATTTTGATATTGCTTGACTCAACAACTCTTGGGGAATTCAAAGATATTCTCTCTCCTCTAGAGGTTTGCTTGCAGTTTGATGGTGCTGGTGCTGCAAAGTGTGTTAGTGGTTTGCTGTTACACTGGCTGAGGTGACTTTGGACCAAATATGATTGTAGTTCTAACCATGAGCACTTACAGGGAGAACAGGCAAAGAATATTCCAGGCGAATCAGTGACAGAAGAACAGTTTACCGATGAAGACGGTAACATCATCACTAGAAAAGTAACTATCTGCCACTGCCTTCACTCTGATTCACCCGTCTTCCTAAAAACACACCTATGAATTATCATACCCACCTCCTGTAAACTCTCCTCCCAAAACGACCTAAACCCTCTCCCCTTGTGTTTGTGCGTGTATCTCGGTCATACTCTCTCCTTCTTGACCATGATCACTATCTCCGCCCCATTTCCCAGGTCATCAGAAAGGTCATCCGGCGCGTGTCCACGCCCACGCCTGACGACCAGGGCGGGGACAGGGGGAGTTTGGACCGAGGAGACCCCTGGCCCTGCCCTTTCTTACTGGAGGAGGAGTTAGAGGTTGGCATGACGACGGAATAGGCTGCATAGAGGGTTGCCCCAGGGGTGTTCTAGGGTTCTGAGCCTGAACAGACTCTAGGGCACATGCCTCTAGAATTCTGTGTGCTTTCACTTCATGGTATCCTGCTAACTGTGTATAATGCTAACATTTGCTTCTGTGGTGGGGTTTACTGCTTTCAGGTTGCTATTGTTACAACATCTCACATGTTGCTTATCTCTGGTCTAGCTGCACTCGGGTTGCTGTTTCAGGTTGCTGTGTTGGGTTACTGCTTGTCAGGATGCCTCAGGATGGGGTTCTGAGATTTGCTTTGCCTCACTCGTATGTGTGTGTGTTGCAGCAAGGAGATGGAGCTAAAAGCAGGAAGAAGGAGGAGAGGAGGTCGGGAGAAAAGAAGCTTCAATCGTAGGGGTAGCTGTGCTCCACCAGGTACTTTACCAAGTAAAGTGCTTTACTCCCCCCACTTCTCTAATACACTTGTAATTTTTTATACCCCACACTGTTCAGTGGTGTGCTCAATATTTTCTGTTCCATTCCATATACATGTCTAAACCTGGTGCAGCTCTGCTCCATTTCACTATACTTGTTCTGTTTTCTTCTGCACTGTTCTCCACTCTGATTAATGTACTTCATTCTACTCCTAACAGTACACACAAGCAGACCTCTTGTCTGTTTTGATTCTGGCTGCGTTTTGTCCTTTGTCAGCTGTGTGGGTGGGTGACTAGTCACAAAGGGTACATGGATGATGCTTAAAACACACATCAGCGTATATTGTCACACAGACACTCTCTCTAACTCTCTGTTTGTCCATTAAATCACCCCACAGGCCAGTTTATAGACTACCATTGTGTGGGAATTACATTACAAAGAGAGGTGGCTATCTGATTGGTTACTGTTAATCCCTGTAAGGTGTTGTGAACTATATGCATCAATAAATTATTCAGTTTAAGCAAACCTGAATAAAAAGAGTAGTGGCACTCTATAATGAACTATGGCTCAACTGGTGGTTTCCATGACAACCATGGTGACCATTACAACCCGTAGCCCAGAGACCTCTTGATGCTCTCTAGCGTCGTCGAGTGATTGCTCCCGTAGATTTGTGGGTGGCTTGCAAAATTGAACTTGTAAAAGTCAGTAAACTGAATTAGTAAAACTAAGGGACCCATAAGCATTAGTGGATGCATGGGCTATGTCCTCTATAATGGCTCCCTTCTTTCAAACTCAACAGCTGCCCAAAATGCTGCCAATATCTGATATGTTGTCATCTTTTCTTAATTTTCAGGTGTGCAGGAATTATTCTCATCTGTTTCCAGGGCAGAAAGTTGCAAACTGAAAAACTCAAGAAATTTCAGCCAGGACTTGACCCGTCTGATTTCAATATGAGCATATAAAACTCACTCCCTGTCAATTGAGGGACCTGGAAGGTTCTCACCATGGAATCTGAATTCTAATTGTATGGCTCTCACTTCCTGTGGTCTATGGACCAGGAGAATTCTGCTTCCTGTTTGTGACTCGTAACGTGCCATTGGTGTGAGAGCTTTTGAGGAGCATTGTGGTGACAATAAAAAGGACTCCATCACAGAAAAACTACAGGTGCAACTGAACATATACTTACCTGTGACCAAAGATGGCACAAAAGCTCAATTCTAGTAGTAGGAGAAAGAAAATCAACAAAATTACACAAAAACTAGAGGAACACTTCTGATCCACCTCCAACACTCGCCTTATAGTTTTGTCTTGGACCCATAAATGTCAGGTTGTAAATTGCTGTGGGTTTTGTTTTCCTTTTTAAAACTGAAAATAACACAAGGCTTTTTCCTGTATATAAATTACAATGTGTACAATTAAAAAATTATGAGTTACAGGATGATAATGCACAGGAGAGAACTTTACAAGTGCTTTCAAAATTATTATCAAAATGGTTCCACTTTTAAGGAAGATTTGAGTGTAACTTCACATTTTCTTGTATAATTCATTATTTTAGCAGGTATAATGTTTGTATATGAAAAAAGCTGGTTAGATTTTACAGAGGAAATTTCCAGAAAATCTTCTGCGAATTTCAGTGATTCCTAAAAAGGGGATGTATTTAATTCTGCAAAAGCAGAGTACTCATATTTTCATGCATGCCGTTCACATTATTTTAAGTACAATTTTTACAAGTTTGCAAACACTGTATTAAAATGAGAATTAAAACCCTTAACCTGTGTACACATATAGATAGCCCTTGCATTTGTCACCAGTTTTATATTTGAAATGAAAAAAATACCATAAAAGCATTTATTGTGTCTGGAACGAGGAACAGTATGAAGAAAATTAGTTCTATAGCTTCTTGAGGGTTTAATGTAGCCTACCGTTTGTCTATGTAAAACTGAACGGCAGCTTCTGCAGGCATTAGCATAAATGCTACGAGAAAGAAGTTATCTGAATGTATATTCTAGTAGACTGGCTCGCTGTAAAAGTAGAACTGTATTCTGTGTATTGGCTATAAGGTGTAGAGGTCTCTGTACGCTGTAAGACTGTTTGTAATCATTTTAGCAGTGTGTCATTTGGTTTATAAAGGCTGCTGTGGTTTTAAAGAAAAGGTGTCATTTCCTTTTGGGTTTTGGTGAAGTATTTCCTTAAATTTAATCTACTCACATAAAGACACATAAGACATTATTTGATTGTAGCTCTTAATAGAAAATGTATGACAAAAACACTGGATGGTCAAAACGATTATTTAAGCATCAAATTAATTGTGTTGAACTCTGAAATTGTGTGATCTTTCTAGGCTTGAGAATCTGTATGCAGTGTCTAACTAGCATTCATTTGATAGCTCATTGGCGATTACTTTGCGTTAGATCTTCTCTTTGTATTGGTTTGACTAGAGGCCCATGTAGTTAAAGTGTGGTGTTATTCTGGTGTAAAGGCTCAGATTTAGTGTGATGATGATGTTTATGCTGTGGACATGACAACCATGTAAAGGACTGATTTTCCTTTTTTGACAAGTGAAGTCATTTAGGGTATTGTATCATATCTCCTATCCTACATGTCAATCAGGAGGTAGAGGTTAATTTGATCAATTTTGTTTGATATGTGTTTTCACCTGAGCTAATTTTTCGATGTACAATTCTTACTAACAGAGTGAAGCCATTGAAATGTAACTATTCTAGCACTTTGGTTATTCAAGGTCTTCTTTTGGAGGTTATAGCAGCAATGACGCCACCACAATGTTTCAATTTTAAAAAACGAAATAACAAAATAAAAATGCATTTATTTTGCAATCAGTTGTTTCTGTTTTATCTTTGTGTTTGTTTATGTGATGTTGAATCTCTTATGTTTGTAAGAAATTCCAATGGATTGGGAAATGTCTAGGCTAAGGGATAAAAGAGGTTGGCAGATACCTGTGATGTAATATATGACTGAACAATCAGCCGGACACAAGAAGAGGTAGTACATCAATAATAACAAAATAAAATTTTCAAGAAATGAAATCTGTGTCTTTCTAAGCCCCTTTAATACAACAACCACAGTAAAAACCTGATTTTAGCACATTCATGATCCTTTTAAAGAAGTTAGCATAAATGCAGAAAAATATCAAAAATCAGTAGCTAAGCCAGAGATGAACATGTTTTTCTCATAAATTATCATAGCCTTGGCTAGGTGGGGTGGATTCTCAGGCTATAGTATTTTCAGATCTACAAAACCCAAGAAGCCATCAAGAAGTGTCTATTCTATAGGGACAGGCTGGAGGGAGTTTCCACCATTGTTAAATCCATGCGAGAAAGTGTGGCAGTGCACACTTTGGGAGAAGGGTTTTTATTATATTTTTATTTTATTAACCTTTATTTAACTAGGCAAATCAGTTAAGAACAAATTCTTATTTATAATGACGGCCTACCAAAAGGCAAAAGGCCTCCTGTGGTGATGGGGGCTGGGATAAAAAATGAAATATAAAATATAGGACAAAACACACATCATGACAAGAGAGACACCACAACACTACATAAAGAGAGACCTAAGACAACCACATAGCATGGCAGCAACACATGACAACACAACATGGTAGCAACACAACATGGCATCAGCACAAAACATGGTACAAACATTATTGGGCACAGACAACAGCACAAAGGGCAGAAGGTAGAGACAACAATACATCACGCGAAGCAGCCACAACTGTCAGTAAGAGTAAGAGTCAGTAAGAGTGTCCATGATTGAGTCTTTGAATGAAGATACAGAGATGTAACTGTCCAGTTTGGGTGGAGAATAAGGACTAGGAGTTGATTGAAAATGTTGTCCCAGACGTGACTGGTAAGGAGATATAAGGGGTCATTTTTAATACTGCAGAAACATATTGTTCATGCATTTCGTTAGACTACTGTTGGATAAAGCTAAACATCAACGGTTTTGGTTTTCCCCTGTAATATTGTCCACTTAATTGCAATATACAAAACTTTTACTTTTCTTTATCTCTTTTCTGTATCCTATGGCATCAATGAGCATTGGCACAAAATAGGACAGCGCTATCTCCACAAGGTGACGCTATTTTAACACGCGTGTGGTTGAAACCTGGACCAAGGTCACACCAAAGATATTTATAACTAACCAAGATAGTTCATCTGTGTCGTTTTCAATGGGAGCAAATTACGCATAGTGGGCAGAACAAGCAAGTAGGTTGTCAGAGCCTAGCACGAGCTAGCTAACGAAATCCTATTGGTGCGTTCTACCATGTATTTGCATTTTTCCGTTAGGGAACGACTTCCCTGTGAAGTGCGCGTGTGCAGCAACTCAATTCGCCCTTGCACTCCTTGTAAACAACGCAATAAAAAAAGTGGTCACGTCTACAAAATGTAGTGTACTCTGTTCGTAACATATTTTAGTTTTGGGAACAGAAAACTGTATTGAAATCGGGCTTTTGTTCGATGGGAAAATCAGCAGACACTCCGCCCAGTTCCATCTCGCTCCATACTCGCACTGCCGGCCACTGGGCTTCATCTCCTCACCATATTTGGTGGGGAGTGGAAATTCCAATCTGATGCTTCAGATTTATACATCCGGTGAAACATCTTGCTCCATGTTCTGTCTTTGGTCACACCACACGGAATGTTCGTAGGCTGCTGCACTACAAACACTGCAGCTGCCGTCTCCTTCACACTGTCGCACACAGCCATGGCGGACAGTGCAAGCGAGAGCGACACCGACGGAGCAGGGAGTAGCTCGGCTACCCCGATGTCATCCTCCGCCTCAAATTCGAGCAAGCCGGGAGTAGTCATTTCACAGTTTCGATTAGAGGAGTTAACCAACCGACTAGCCTCACTACAACAGGAGAACAAAGTTCTTAAAATTGAGCTAGAGACGTTCAAACTCAAGTGCAAGGCGCTACAGGAGGAGAATCGGGATCTGCGTAAAGCTAGCGTCACCATTGTGAGTCTGTTGTTTTTTTTGTTGGTTAGCCTAACTAGCTAGCTAACATTAGCTACATTCAAACAATGCATATAGACAAGCACGTTAAACATACGAATTTGCAACTAGGTTAGCAAACTAACGTTAATTAACTAACTAGTAGCGAAATAAAGGCAACGAACGTAGCTATGCCTGTTAAGAAGCTAGCATTAGCTAGCTAACTTAACGTTAGCTTAGAGAGCTGGCGTAGCTAGTTGGTAAACCTAAATGTTAGCTAGCCCGTTATGTTTTGGTGTTGTTAGTTAGCCAATGCCTGGTTCATTTGCTAACACCAATCGTTCCATTTGAACAGTGGTGACCAAGAAGTTGACGTTTGTATCTAACGTTAGCTAGCTAACTAGATAATGTAAGCCATGTCATCTTGTTACGAGATGGAAAACGTGTAACGTTAGCTAGCAATGTTTTTTTTTATTCACTGAATCCTCTGAGGCTTGGTGTTTCCGTTGTTCTTTTTGTGCTTAACTGTAACGTTGACAGCTGCCGCTTGACACAACTGTTGAATTTATAATAAATCATGACATACAGTAGCTACATTTACATTTTAGTCTAGTCCAACAACACCTACTCTGCCTGTCCAAGGCATCGGTATGATTGGCATGGTTTTGATTTCCTTTCTCCTTGTCCCCCCCCGCCCCCCACTAACTGCTTCCTCTCCAGCTGACACAGACCTTCAATGCAGCAAACCTGCACCATGTTATTCCTTGTTTTTGCACAGATACTACTGCAGTGTCAATAAAAAATGTTTAAGTATAGGAATACCATATTTTAGCACAGAGACAGCTGTGAGCTCAGCTGAGCAGTGTGGTAGAGGTTGACATTAGAATGGCAAAGACAAATCACTTCATATGTTGTTGCCATTGTTAACCATTCCAACATTTTTGAAGCATCTCTTAACACAATTAAGACATGTTGTATTCTGTGAGCCATCTTGTTGTGAATGCTGCACTCATCTTTTCTGTAAATGTTTCCCTCTTTCTCTGTGACTGCAGCAAGCAAGGGCTGAGCAGGAGGAGGAGTTCATCAGCAACACCCTGTTCAAGAAGATCCAGGCCCTGCAGAAAGAGAAGGAGACCCTCGCTGTCAACTATGAGAAAGAGGAGGAATTTCTCACTAATGAACTGTCAAGAAAACTCATGCAAGTAAGTGACAGCCGGAAGAGAACTGGCTCTGGGGCACTTGACTTATGCCAAGTATTTGTCGCAGAGTCAAAATCTAAGGATTTGTGTTTGGGGTGGAGCGCATAACAGCAGTAATGGTTCTTGCCTTAAGTTATTTTATTAACCGACTTCATCGCTTCTCTAAATTACTCTTGACTGACTCCTCCTATTCCTGGGTTAGGCTATTTGGTCTCTTTTGCAACTGACCTACATGTTGCCTCATGGCCACTATGAGCTGTTGACCTTTTGTAGTACTGACTAATGGTTTGATGTGTAAAGAAGAACAATGAATCTCACTGGACCACTCATGTTTTACCAGACCCTTGTTAAAGTTCAAACAGTCTGGAGGCTCTTGTTATTTCTACTTCTATACTTTAGTGTCGACAGACGCTCCTTAGCACATGTCCCCCCCCCCACCCCATAGTGTCGCTATGAAATGGTAATTGTGGTAGTCATGTCTGTGGTAAGGAGACACTTCTGTAAACATGGAGACTTGTCTGACATACTTTTTTCCGTACATTTCTTCAAAGGCATTTCAGGTAAGTGGCCTGCACCAGTCTAGACTAACGCTAATGTGAATTTGTACTGGAAACCCTGTTCTACTACACGCCAGGCTTCAACAGTAAATGGTTCATAATATTAGTATTTTCAGTGGTATAGGCTACTACTACTATAAGGAGTGGGCCACCTATACCCTAGATGTCCTGTATCCACCTTCAGACACAGGTCTCTGTGACGCTGCCCATTTCTAAACTGTTGTGAGGCTTCATAAATCACATTTATCTTCAAACAAAACTCTTAGCTCTTGTTAGTAAGTAAGATGTTATGCATAGCAGTTAAATACCAGAGGGTTTTTACGCTCATTTAAGAGAATGTTGTCACTTGCTGTGGTCTGAAGCTGTTGATCATCACTGAGAAAGTTGGCTGCACAACTCCAGTCTGTTGTGGTGTTTCTATAAAGGTCTGTGCCCCGAGAACAGAGGAACGTGAATGTAGTGAGGTTAGACTGTCAAAATGGACTCTAGCACTCAACTAAAATAGCTCAACCCCCTGTTTCTTTCTTAATTGTCCTATGTTTTATTTTGACCTGATTATTAGTCAGTGTTGGTTAGATATTTTTTATTTTTTTTTATTTCACCTTTATTTAACCAGGTAAGCCAGTTGAGAACAGGTTCTCATTTACAACTGCGACCTGGCCAAGACAGAGCAAAGTAGTGCAACAAAAACAACACAGAGTTACATATGGGGTAAAAAAAAAAACATAAAGTCAGAAATACAACAGAAAATATATATACAGTGTGTGCAAATGTAGCAAGTTATGGAGGTAAGGCAATAAATAGGCTATAGTGCAGAATAATTACAATAGTATTAACACTGGAATGCTAGATGTGCAAGAGATTATGTGCAAATAGAGATACTGGGGTGCAAAAGAGCAAATTAAATAACAATATAGGGATGAGGTAGTTGGGTGGGCTAATTTCAGATGGGCTGTGTACAGGTGCAGTGATCGGTAAGGTGCTCTGACAACTGATGCTTAAAGTTATTGAGGGAGATAAGAGTCTCCAGCTTCAGAGATTTTTGCAATTCGTTCCAGTCATTGGCAGCAGAGAACTGGAAGGAATGGCGGCCAAAGGAGGTGTTGGCTTTGGGAATGACCAGTGAGATATACCTGCTGGAGCGCAGACTACGGGTGGGTGCTGCTATGGTGACCAATGAGCTAAGATAAGGCGGGGATTTGCCTAGCAGTGATTTATAGATGGCCTGGAGCCAGTGGGTTTGACGACGAACATGTAGTGAGGACCAGCCAACAAGAGCGTACAGGTCACAGTGGTGGGTAGTGTATGGGGCTTTGGAGACAAAACGGATGGCACTGTGATAGACTACATCCAATTTGCTGAGTAGAGTGTTGGAGGCTATTTTATAAATGACATCGCCGAAGTCAAGGATCGGTAGGATAGTCAGTTTTACGAGGGCATGTTTGGCAGCATGAGTGAAGGAGGCTTTGTTGCGAAATAGGAAGCCGATTCTAGATTTAACTTTGGATTGGAGATTCTTTATGTGAGTCTGGAAGTTGAGTTTACAGTCTAACCAGACACCTAGATATTTGTAGTTGTCCACATACTCTAGGTCAGACCCGTCGAGAGTGGTGATTCTAGTCGGGTGGGCGGGTGCTAGCAGCGTTCGATTGAAAAGCATGCATTTAGTTTTACTAGTGTTTAAGAGCAGTTGAAGGCTACTGAAGGATTGTTGTATGGCATTGAAGCTCGTTTGGAGGTTTGTTAACACAGTGTCCAATGAAGGGCCAGATGTATACAAAATGGTGTCGTCTGCGTAGAGGTGGATCTGAGAGTCACCAGCAGCAAGAGCGACATCATTGATATACACGGAGAAAAGTGTCGGCCCAAGAATTGAACCCTGTGGCACCCCCATAGAGACTGCCATAGGTCCAGACAACAGGCCCTCCAATTTGACACACTGAACTCTATCTGAGAAGTAGTTGGTGAACCAGGCGAGGCAGTCATTTGAGAAACCAAGGCTATTTAGTCTGCCAATAAGAATATTAGTCACACAATAGTCTCATTTTTTAACAAGCTATGTGCCACACCATTTTTATTGGTAGATGGTCAAAGGTGGTTGCTTTTGGCAATATCTAGCTGCACTGCCGCCATTTCACAACACATTCTTCTCCAGATCACAATAATTTTAGACAAGCAGCACCAACCTATTACCACCTCTATAAAAAATACCTATCAACATGTAACCACAGTGTTTTTAACGCAAATCTTTTCATTAGTTGCAATTAGTCACATTGATTTCTCCTCCCACAGTTACAACATGAGAAGGCTGAGTTGGAACAGCACTTGGAGCAGGAGCAGGAGTTCCAGGTCAACAAGCTGATGAAGAAGATCAAGAAAATGGAGAATGACACAATATCAAAGCAGCTCACCTTGGAGCAGGTACAGTGACATAATGGAACTATGTGAAATGACATTGGCAGTGTCTGAATACCCATACTTGCATTCTAAATAGTAGGTTTGGGCGGTATCCATATTGTCGTACCTTCATACCGACCTTGTGCCATACTGGGATATTTGGTAATACTGGCACTGAACACAGGGGGTGCTATTTTCAAACCCCACTGAGCCTCTGTAATCCAAAGGTTAGCAATGCTAACAAGTACATGTGAAATCCCATAGAAAATGCTAACTAAATGCTAACGGTCGCGTTGCAAACATTTTATACAGTCTCTGACCTAAACTATTTGCAGGACAGACATCCCAGCTCATAAATTTATACAAGTAACTCAAAATTGCTACACAGTTTGCTGCATGCACAAAACAAATATTGAACAGCAAGGCTCTTGATCCAGGAGGGGATTCTCTGTGTTTACCAAGCGAAGCTTGATTTTGGAAGAAGCTAACCACTTAGCTAGATAGCTAGCTAGCTACCTACTAAATTAGCAAACCAAATGCACAACTGCTGAGCATTTAGCACATCTTAGACAGTTAACTTAATAGATATAAGGCATCTAGCTGGAAAACATTTAGTTGTGAATTCCATACTGTAACTAGATCACATGACGTGTGCTGCACAACAGTGAGTGACTGGCTGTCTCGTCATTTTGTGCTTGTAAACAAACACCACGTGACAGGGGACTACCGCTAAGCTTCATAATAAAAAATTATGTGATTCGTGAAATTAAGAACGTGATCTTTTTTATCTCCTAATGTATTGCACAAGTTAATTGCAGTATTTACTTCAAAAGTAGCAACAAATATTCACATGTATTTAAAAAACTTAAAATACATTTCAATAGTGCCAATACTGTTGAAACAATACTGAACAAAAATATAAACGCAACATGCAACAATTTCAACGATTTTACTGAGTTACAGTTCATATAAAGAAATCAGTCAGTTTAAATAAGTTTATTAGGCCATCATCTATGGATTTCACATGACTGGGCAGGGGCGCAGCAATGGGTAGGCCTTGGGAGCCAGGCCCACCCACTGGGGAGCCAGGCCGAGGCAATCGGAATATGTTTTTCCCCACAAAAGGGCTTTATTACAGACAGAAATACTCCAGTTTCATCAGCTGTCCGGGTGAATGGTCTCAGACGATCCCGCAGGTGAAGAAGCTGGATGTGGCGGTCCTGGGCTGGCGTGGTTACACGTGCACGGTCTGCAGTTGTGAGGCCGGTTGGACATACTGCCAAATTCTCTAAAACGAAGTTGGAGGCGGCTTATGGTAGAGAAATGAACATTCAATTCTGGCAACAGCTCTGGTGGACATTCCTGCAGTCAGCATGCCAATTGCCCGCTCCCTGAAAACTTGAGACATCTGTGGCATTGTGTTGTGTGACAAAACTGCACATTTTAGAGTGGCCTTTTATTGTCCCCAGCACAAGGTGCACCTGTGTAATGATCATGCTGTTTAATAAGCTTCTTGATATGCCAAACCTGTCAGGTGGATGGATTCTCTTGGCAAAGGAGAAATGCTCACTAACAGAGTTGTAAACACATTTTTGAGAGAAATACGATTTTTGTGCCCATGGAACATTTGATCTCAGCTCATGAAACATGGGACCAACACTTTACATGTTGCATTTATATTTTTGTTCAGTATAGTAGAAGATAATCGTTTTTGACAACAGCTGTTAATCCGTTATGGTGAAGCGCTGTACCAAAATTACCAAATGGTGGGAATCAACGTAATTGCACATTAGATGACGCATTCTCAGTATGGATGAGCTTAGTATGTTATTTTTTTCCTTACTGCATTCGATTTTACTAAACAGTATGTTCTAAATAGTATGTAGTACAATTAGTACACAGTATGCCGTTTTAGTAAGTGGTAGGCAAGACAGATTTCAGACACAGCCATTGTCTTGGTGCAGCTGAGTCTCTTCTGAGGACATCATGTCGGCACTGCCACTTAAGAGCAGGTGCATTACCATGATGGGAGTGTAGAATTTTGTGTGTGTGGGTGCGCATTTCTTTGTTTAAGATAAGACGTTCTCAAGCTGAATATCTCTTTGATGTGTTCCCTTCCTTTCCAGCTAAGGCGTGAGAAGATTGACCTCGAAAACACATTAGAGCAAGAACAAGAGGCTCTTGTCAATAGACTGTGGAAGCGCATGGACAAATTGGAGGCAGAGAAAAGGTAGGCTTTTATTCTGTATTAACCATATATTCCTTAGGAGTAGTATGTGCAGATCTAAAGAAACCAAGGTGCTGGATTCTGTGAACAGTTGAAAGTAAACCAAATTAACCTTCACACTGTTGTATGCTCTCTAGTGATTCTCTTTATTAGGACAGTAGGAATAACATATACAATGGTTATCTGTTGACTTTACCCAGTGTTGATTAATTGGAGCTCACTTGTCTTTGACAGAATCCTCCAGGAGAAGTTGGACCAGCCTGTGTCTGCTCCTCCCTCCCCCAGGGATGTTTCCATGGAGATTGACTCTCCGGAGAACATGATGCGGCATATCCGCTTCCTGAAGAACGAGGTGGAGAGGCTGAAGAAGAGCCTCCGCACCACCGAGCTGCAGCGTGAGTTTCAAAGGCCAATGGTCAACAGTGAATTCATCATGACGTGACCTGGTTACGTAGAACCCATAAAACTAGATAAAGTAGACTTTGCCACATTTCTGAAAATATTTGGTGCTGAAGAAGGCTTTCCTATGGTTTTGCTGTAGATTTACAGTCAGTTATTTGCGGAACTTATGTGTTTTGTTCAGATTCAGTGTTTAATAGTCACATGTACAGGGTTGCAGGTGTGATTGCAGGGTACAGTAAAAATCTTAGGCTCCAACATGCAAGTCTAAGTTAAATAAAATAATGAAAATGGTAATAAAAAATGACAATAGAAATAGCACTAAATACATAACAAGTAAAGACTTGAGGGGGTGGGGGGAAATGACCATAGGGGGAGCAGCATGACCATTGAGGGGGTGTGGGGACCAAGTGAAAAAAAAAAAAAAAAAAAGGTATAATAAAATCTATATTAACACCTGCAACAGTGATGAATGTCGTTGGGGTGGGGGCAGAGTAAAAGTCTGTTGGGTGGGGGGAAAATGTCCATAGTGGGAGTAGCAGGGGAGCAGCTACTGGTGGCTATTCAGCAGCCTGATGGTCTGAGGGTAGAAACTATTGGCCAGTCTTCCAGTTTTTGACATGATGCTGAACTGCCCGCATCTTAGTGATGGAGTTGGCGGTGGAGTTGCCGTACCACTTGATCTTAGAACAACAGTGGTAGTAGGTCACGGTAGAGTACTCCTCTTTTTACAGATGCATGTTCAATTTGGGAACGATGGTAATATTATCACTCAAACAGATGTGGACACGCACAGTTTCCCCCTCAGAACAAACACACACTCGCGTTTCCCACAGCAGGTTCCAAGTAGACCACAACCAAGCTCTTTTTCAATCACTCAATATTATCTCTGCGCAGATCTGTCATTTCTTCCCAAATATCCTTAACCTCAATTTAACTTTCTCAGTGAAACCTAACTCTGTCTTAGTAGTTGACCGGTCCAATTCAGCCAGTCTCGGAAATCCTAGACCTAGGGCAGCGGCATGGAACATTGTTTACATTATGGGAGGCAACCTGTTGGCCGAGGGCAGGGGTCGGCAACAGGCCAAAACTGGCCAGCAAGTGATTCTTTTTTTTGCCCCTCCCCCCTCCTATTGCTGGGCTTAGTTGTGGTACATTTTCCTTGTACAAATTATTATAATTGTGATCCGGCCCCCTGACCATCCGCTCCAACAAATATCGACCCGCAACTGAATCTAGTTGCATACCCCTGGCTTAGGGCAGTGTTTCCCAACTCCAGTTCTCGAGGATGCTCAACAGTACACATTTTTGTTGTAGCCCTGGGCAAACGCACCTGATTCAACTTGTCAACTAATCATCAAGACCTCAATTAGTTGATTCAGGTGAGTTTGTCCGGGGCAACAACAACAAATGTGTGCTGTAGGGTGTACTGGAGGGCTGGAGTTGGGGAACACTGGCCTAGGCAGATGAGTTCAGCAGAAGGATGATCCCTGTTTATATATTTGGCCACTAGAGGGAGCTGTCATATCAATCTATTCTGTTCTATGCTCTTGGACCAAAATACTAACAAGCTGATGAAGTCATGGACTTAAATACCAAATGAACCTCTTATTAGAGACCAGACTTTACCTATTATATTTAGGTGCAATAGCTGCTGTACTACAGCAATAAAGAGCATTACAATACACCAAAGGGCTAAAGCAACTATTGAAGAGGTGTGTATCATAGACGAGTACTTTTGGAAAATACTGTTGCATCTTTGCTCTCAGAAAAATACATTGTTTTGTAATGACTCATTGCTGTTTAATGATGGTGAATTGGTTTTTGATTAAACTTTATTTGTCCGTCCCGTCCCAGACACAGAGAAGCGGGCCCAGTACATTGAGGAGGAGCGGCACATGCGTGAGGAGAACATCCGTCTGCAGAGGAAGCTGCAGAGAGAGATGGAGCGCCGCGAAGCCCTGTGTAGACAGCTGTCTGAGAGCGAGTCCAGTCTGGAGATGGATGACGAGAGGTAGACATGAAACAACAACCCACAAAACACTGTTCCAACTTCTCAATCTCCAACCAATGTTTAATCTCTACTCCACTGTCAGCCATGCATAACCAACCATCCAATAAACAACCCCACCCCACATTCTCACTTCCTCAATGTCACTCCAATCTAGTACTTTCTGTTTCAGACAGCAAATCATTGCTCAATGGTTTTGGGAGTGATATTTAGAGACAGAAGTTAATTGTCTAAACTATGTTATTTTCCCCTCTCAGGTACTTCAATGAGATGTCAGCTCAAGGCCTGCGAGCACGGACGGTGTCCAGTCCCATCCCATACACTCCTTCCCCCAGCTCCAGCCGACCCATATCACCTGGTAGGGTACAGTTACAGGAAGTCCATGGCCCACTTCCAACACCTCATACCCACTACACCCTGTTTTATGAATATCTATGTCACTGGGTGAAGGAAGAGAAAGGTCCATATCCATAAAGAGCACCTTTGACTCTGTATAATGTATTGTAATATGAAAAGGTGTATTCCGTTAATCATTAAGGAACATTGTATCTAGCTGTGTCTCAGGAACTCTCTGTTCCAGGTTGATAGATCCTTACTGATAATTGGGTGAATTTAAGGTCCCCTTGGTACAAGTCCTGTCTTGGTTACAAGATAGTTGCTTCTGTTGAACGTCAGGTCAACAGGTCTATCAAAATATGAAATCTATTCTTAAATTCAATTGTAAACAGATTTAGGCTATGCATGGGTTATCCCTTGAAATTAAATCCTATTTATATCCCTAATCCCTAACCACATTATTTTCCCTGAAAATGTCAGACTGCTTAAAGTTCTTGACAGTTTCTAATGTTAATACCAATTGAAGGAGTACGTTTGTTTGGGTGACATCCTTTCATTTAGCATTGTATCGAAACATAGTTATAGACGGTATTGTAAAAATCCATACACAATATATCGCCCAGCCCTACCTGCAACACCCAGGCTCCGTATACATCGCACCTCCTTAGCAACCGTGGTTTATGTTACCAGATCAGATGGAGTTGAAGGAAATCAGATTTGTAGCTAACGTTGATGTTTTTTAGTCCAGTAAATGTTTTCAGGTGTAGAATTAAGACTATGGAGCTCAAGTTCCAGTGGGCTGCAAGGCATGCCAGTCTTCAAAACATCTTAGCAGAGAATGTTTTTTGCAGTATTGACATTGTGGTACTTCATGATATTAACTGACAGAAAGGTTACAGTAATCACAGGCAGTAACTGCAGCAGCCTCTGAGGATTCCACCTTTTAGCACCCCTATTACATAACAACACTCTGAGACAAATCACGGCCAATATCAATATCCCGATTCTAGTGGATCTCCCTTTCCCCAAAGAGCAACATTTTACATTAAAGCTGCTCAAGAGCAGTAAGAATAAGGATGTTCCCAGGAATTACCAAAAAGAGGGTAATATGGTTTGATAAGAGTCCATCCTGGGCATTTGTTTCTGTTTAGCTATGACAGTCTGCAGTGCCAGGCAGCTGGAAACATTATGAGCTAGTGTTAGCATGGGCTGACTCAACCTTATGTGCCACTTTTCCAGCAAAGGTTGATATTTATCAAATTTGAACTTCACAGGAACGTGTGCTTATCTCTAGGCAAATCTCAGACCATATGTTGAGTTCCCCAACTGGTGGCCTGCGGGGCGAATTTGGTTTCCATTTGGCCCCCTAAGTTTTCTGAGCATTTTCATTGTTGGACATAAGACTGTGACAACACCACGAAATCGTCTCCAAGTGATTTTAACTTTGGAAATCTGTTCCTAAGTATTCCCACGCATAATATAGAGCGACACATTTATACAAATGTAAGCAAGGGTTGAAATTAGGTTTAACTCAAATACTATATCAGTTTGGGCTTCTTGTGGTCAATTTGCGGTCTACGAAATGTAATTATATTCCGGCCCCAACCATCCCCTCAAGAAAAAAATCAGCCCGCGGCTGAATCTAGTTGATGATCCCTGTTCTAGTGGTTGAATTGTATTACAAGCAAACATTGTTCTTTTGGGTAAATGGAGGTCGGCATTTGACACACAGGAATTATGATAATGGTAGGCTAATAAAAACAAAACGTAGATGCATTTGCCTTTGGTAAGGAGATCTCATTGCAGCATTTAGCCTAATGTTTCTTTGACTTTTATTATATGGGCCTGAATAATCATATTTTCTGACATGACTGGTTTATTCCCACTACACAACAAATATTAGGCTACCATTTATCCATCGGTCATTCGATAGCCAAGCATGCTCCAAAGTAAATAGACCAGTAGCCTAGACTACTACATATGCGACTAAATATTTTACTGTGCCACAGGGTTTTTTATTTTGGGAGCACTTTGTGACTGAAAAAAATCTCCAAGATAATAATTGTTGTAATGATGAGGCTTCGATGTACCTTTGTTTCCGAGTGCCCTAGAGAAACAAGTGAGTACAGGTTCGTTAACGTCATGGTTGCAACATTACTACAGAGAGAACGTCTTGCTTCTAGCCCAACCAGGTCAAAACGTCTGGCCCTATAGCGGATCGCCGGGACCGCGTTTTACATTCATAAAGGCCACTCTAAAATGTGCAGTTTTGTCACACAACACAATGCCACAGATGTCTGAGGTTTTGAGGGATCGTGCAATTGGCATGCTGACTCCAGGAATGTCCACCAGAGCTGTTGCCAGATAATTTAAAGTTAATTTCTATACCATAAGCCGCCTTCAACTTCGTTTTAGTGAATTTGGCAGTACATCCAACCGGCCTCACAACCGCAGACCATGTGTAACCACGCCAGCCCAGGACCACATCCGGCTTCTTCACCTGCGGGATTGTCTTGAGACCAGCCACTCCGGACAGCTGATGAAACTGTGGGTTTGCCCAACCAAATAATTTCTAAACAAACTGTCAGAAACCCTCTAGGGAAGCTCATCTGCGTGCTCGTCGTCCTCACCAGGGTCTTGACCTGACTGCAGTTCGGCGTCGTAACCGACTTCAGTGGGCAAATGCTCGCCTTCGATGGCCTCTGGCACGCTGGAGAAGTGTGCTCTTCACGGATTAATCCCGGTTTCAACTGTACAGGGCAGATGGCAAGACAGTGTGTATGGCATCTGTTCCATTTCTCGCCATTATCCAGCAGCTTCACACAGCCATTGAAGAGGAGTGGTACAACATTCCACAGGCCACAATCAACAGCCTGATCCACTCTATGCGAAGATGTGTCGAGCTGCATGAGGCGAATTTATAATGAATTTATTTCAATTGACTGATTTCCTTATATAAACTGTAACTCAGTAAAATCTTAGAAATTGTTGCATGTTGAGTTTTTATATTTTTGTTCAGTGTACATTTGGCCACACCTATTCTTGGCGCGAAGGCCAGGTATATCTATGCACGCTAAAGCGCGCGCGTTCACACATTAAACATGACGGAGAAACCGGACACATTCTCTGCAAACAAAGATGAGGAGGAAATGTACAGTAAACTGGTAAATGCAATTAAATCAACCAAAAGTTATTTATCACAAGTGTTGCGCAGTTTGTGAGCTCTCCAAACAATGTTTCGACTTGGAGAATGGTATGAATGTATATTATATTTAATGAATTATAAAAAAAAAATTAAAAATCTGTAGCCAAACATTCTAAATTAATGGGGGAATATGTTGGCATTAACAGTAACTTCACTGATGAATATACATATACACTGCTCAAAAAAATAAAGGGAACACTTAAACAACACAATGTAACTCCAAGTCAATCACACTTCTGTGAAATCAAACTGTCCACTTAGGAAGCAACACTGATTGACAATAAATTTCACATGCTGTTGTGCAAATGGAATAGACAACAGGTGGAAATTATAGGCAATTAGCAAGACACCCCCAATAAAGGACTGGTTTTGCAGGTGGTGACCACAGACCACTTCTCAGTTCCTATGCTTCCTGGCTGATGTTTTGGTCACTTTTGAATGCTGGCGGTGCTTTCACTCTAGTGGTAGCATGAGACGGAGTCTACAACCCACACAAGTGGCTCAGGTAGTGCAGCTCATCCAGGATGGCACATCAATGCGAGCTGTGGCAAGAAGGTTTGCTGTGTCTGTCAGCGTAGTGTCCAGAGCATGGAGGCGCTACCAAGAGACAGGCCAGTACATCAGGAGACGTGGAGGAGGCCGTAGGAGGGCAACAACCCAGCAGCAGGACCGCTACCTCCGCCTTTGTGCAAGGAGGAGTAGGAGGAGCACTGCCAGAGCCCTGCAAAATGACCTCCAGCAGGCCACAAATGTGCATGTGTCTGCTCAAACGGTCAGAAACAGACTCCATGAGGGTGGTATGAGGGCCTGACGTCCACAGGTGGGGGTTGTGCTTACAGCCCAACACCGTGCAGGACGTTTGGCATTTGCCAGAGAACACCAAGATTGGCAAATTCGCCACTGGCGCCCTGTGCGCTTCACAGATGAAAGCAGGTTCACACTGAGCACGTGACAGAGTCTGGAGACGCCGTGGAGAACGTTCTGCTGCCTGCAACATCCTCCAGCATGACCGGTTTGGCGGTGGGTCAGTCATGGTGTGGGGTGGCATTTCTTTGGGGGGCCGCACAGCCCTCCATGTGCTCGCCAGAGGTAGCCTGACTGCCATTAGGTACCGAGATGAGATCCTCAGACCCTTTTGTGAGACCATATGCTTGTGCGGTTGGCCCTGGGTTCCTCCTAATGCAAGACAATGCTAGACCTCATGTGGCTGGAGTGTGTCAGCAGTTCCTGCAAGAGGAAGGCATTGATGCTATGGACTGGCCCGCCCGTTCCCCAGACCTGAATCCAATTGAGCACATCTGGGACATCATGTCTCGCTCCATCCACCAACGCCACGTTGCACCACAGACTGTCCAGGAGTTGGCGGATGCTTTAGTCCAGGTCTGGGAGGAGATCCCTCAGGAGACCATTCCGCCACCTCATCAGGAGCATGCCCAGGCGTTGTAGGGAGGTCATACAGGCACGTGGAGGCCACACACACTACTGAGCCTCATTTTGACTTGTTTTAAGGACATGACATCAAAGTTGGATCAGCCTGTAGTGTGGTTTTCCACTTTTAATGTTGAGGGTGACTCCAAATCCAGACCTCCATGGGTTGATAAATTTGATTTCCATTGATAATTTTTGTGTGATTTTGTTGTCAGCACATTCAACTATGTAAAGAAAAAAGTATTTAATAAGATTATTTCATTCATTCAGATCTAGTGTTCCCTTTATTTTTTTGAGCAGTGTATTTCACGGGGCATTGACACAAAAAGAAATAGTGCGCACGAATTGGCGGTAGTCATTGCGCAATAGTGGAGCGAGACATGCCTATAGCACACACACCACACACAATTTACATTTACGTCATTTAGCAGACGCTCCGGACACACCCCTCCCCTTATTCTGGTCTCGACATTATGCTTGAGACTCATGCCTCACACATAAGCAGTAACCTCATAAACATTGTCAGGATGATGGAGTGGTCATTCTCCCTTCAACTGAAATCAGTAAGGTTCAGTATTTCTAACCACCCCCCTTAAACACACACACTACCCAAACTAATGGACATGCCAGGCAGAATGGCACATTCCAAACGAGCACTGGGTACATGATACATATTGACCAACATTTGGTGAATTTAGATTGGCGGAGCAAATAAAGGAACATCATAGCAGTTGCCCCGAGGCAGATTAAACATTTTGCCCAGGCCCTAAACACTGTCCATTAGGGTTGGGCGATATTATGATAGCATCGTCTATTGATGATGGTTGACAGCCATCGTCGATGGTGACTAAATCGTGATGTAACAGATGATGGTTTAGCCTACTTAAACTTGACTGGTGCCCCGCAGTAAAGAACAGTCTCACAGGGCAGGGCAGCGCACAGCAGGGGCTTGAAGCTGTATTATAACGGACACTCCTTAACTATCTTGTGTTTAGCGGTTAACAAGAAACGTAGCCTGTATTCCCTTTTCTCCATTCGATAGATTATATAAATATGACGGAAGGCTATGCCTCATCGTTTTATGCATGGCTTTCTGCCGATCACATAATGAATATTATGGAGTTCCATCTCAGTTATTTGATTAGCCTAAAAACTTAAGATAGTCAGGCTTAAAATAATGAGAGAGAATAAACAATATCAATCTAATGACACGTTTAATCAAGTTTAAGCTTATTAAGAAAGAAATGATCCAGCCTGTAAAATCCCTCCAAGTGAGATTGAAAACCAAATGGCCAATAACCTATCCTATTTCCTCCTATTGGCCTATCATAAAAGCTTTAATACAAGTTAAAGTTATGAACAGTAGCTTATTTCCAAAATATTCTAGCATAAAGGTATTGTCCTAAAGTTGTGGCTTTCAAAAACAACAAGAATGAAAGTCTATACTCTATAGCATAGGCTATTCTCAATCACAGCTTTATGATGGATAAACAATATTTATTTGTCTATTTTATGAGTCACTAGAGTATCAGAACGTTACTCATCAGACAGTTAGTGCTCCGTCACAGCGCACCACACACACACACACACAAATCTGCTTCATGCTGAAACAAAGTAGCTGGCTGGGGGGTCGCTGTGGCATGCACCCAATTTAGTAGTGTTCATATAGTGCCAGGTGTGGAAACCTGGTGAGTGCAGCAGCCCCAAATGTCCCATGAAATGTATTGATTGAAATGGCCATGCTGCAACATGGTCGACATGTCCCAACCAGCCTTTTTGTAATCCTTAAGTTTATGGTGTTCCCCAGTCACATAGAGCCTCAACCTTACTTTACTCACATTCATACCATTTGCTTTTAAAGGACATTGAACAGAAAATACATGGAATTCATAAACATAAAACACATTGTAAACTAAATAACGTTTTCTCCTCTCCTCCAGGTCTGTCATACGGCAGTCACACAGTTGGGTTCACTCCCCCAGCCACCCTGTCCAGAGCCGCCATCGCTCACTTCAACGCCCCAGCCCTGCACGGCGTGGGAGTAAGTCTGCTCCGCTCCAATCAGACCACCAATGGGCATCTGAACCAGTTTGGTTTAATTCACAGTGCGCTTAATAGTGCTAATTAAATGTCTTATGAGATTTTAATCTAACCCCTAACATGGGCACTACACTGGGGCATCGCTAAAGCACAAGTTTTTTTTTTTTTTTACCTGCTACACTGGAAGAGTAACTTTTGGGCAGCGCAGCAGAGTGTGAGCCATCCTATTGTTCTTGGTTGTGAGCTGCTCGTTGAAATCTTGAAAATAGAACCAGATTGTAATTTTCACGCTGAGCAGGGCAAGCCTCTTGCGGCACCAGTATGCTAATGCCTTAAGTTTCATTGAAATTAATAGGAGCGTCTCACGATCGGCAAGTTACGCGTCTAGTGTAGCAGACCAGTAAGGGTGTTCTGTAGTGAATAGACCTAGTGTTTGGTTAGGGTGTTCGGAATTAGCTTTGAGGCATCAATTGCACCTTCTGAAATGATCAGGAATGTGAGCACTACTGCTGGTTATTTGGTGCCTCAGGATACATGAAACTTCAGTATCATAGATTATTTCTCATGGATTTTACCACCATGACACCACCAAGAAAATAAATGGGGTTGAAATGTAGATGGAGGGGTACCAGTTGTCCTCCAAAATGGCGCAGACGTCATTATCAGATGGCACTAACCCAAAATGCCCCGACTGTGGATATCATCGGAGTGTACATTGAACTGTGCGGAGATGTAGCGGTAGTTGATCTCCTACCAACACCATGGAGGAGGGCTGGGAGTATGTGTCCCATTAATCTTTATGGTGTGTTCATGTGTCTGATCTGGATCACATTGTCATTTGTTTGCTCCTGTGTCAGTCATTTGACATAACTAGCCTGTATGGTATTCCACCTATGACTAAATGAATCAAATGAGGTCTAATCGATAAACAAGAGCCAGGAGTCGGGCAGAGTCAGCACTTTTGTATGGCGTGTGTTCCCATACAATTTTGTCCAACTAGCATCCTTGTGCTTGTATTGATAAACCTATTTAATACTCCTATGATGAATAATGTAGACGCTCTCAAGTCCATTGATAAGGCTGTAGAATGCTCTTGATTTATACTGAACAAAAATATAAACGCAACAATTTCATTGATTTTACTGAGTTACGGTTCATATGAGGAAATCAGTCAATTGAAATAAATTCATTAGGCCCTAATCAATGGATTTCACATGACTGGGAATACAGATATGCATCTGTTGGTCACAGATACCTTTAAGAAAATGGGCCTCACAATGGACCTCAGGATCACAAGGTTTTTTTGTGCATTAAAATTGCCATCGATAAAATGCAATTGTGTTCGTTGTCCGTAGCTTATGCCTGCCCATGCCATAACCCCACCGCCTCCATGGGGCACTCTGTTCACAACGTTGGCATCAGCAAACCGCTCGCCCACATAACGCCATACACGTGGTCTGCAGTTGTAATGATCATGCTGTTTAATCAGCTTCTTGATATGCCACACCTGTCAGGTGGATGGATTATCTTGGCAAAGGAGAAATGCTCACTAACAGGGATGTAAACAAATTTGTGCACAAAATATGTTTATGGAACATTTCTGGTATCTTTTATTTCAGCTCATGAAACATGGGACCCACACTTTACCTTTTCTCACACCATTGGTAACAATCTTGTGGGACCTCCCTGCCTGTCTTTAAGTGTCCTTCCAGTGCCTGTGTTAAACTCAGCAGGTCCTCTCCCAGTGCCAGAAGGACCTGTTTGTGTCTGCCGTTCAACCGCTCTCATTACCACAGGCTTTAGGACATTCCATTCCCTCTCACCTTCCTGTTACCCCTTCCTATCCTGGTCACTGTGTCCCATCATTTGTTCCATTACTGCACAGACAGACCTGGGAGCAGGCTAGAGCAATATGGATTATTAATTGCAAATGGACACTAAAATATACAAATGGTCGGAGTACTGAGTAGAACATCTTGTGATTACATCAGTGACTTTCTGCTGCTGACGCCTCCCTGCTCAATGTCAACATTGTCTCTGTAGAGTGAAGCCATTCCCTGTGGTTATGGAGACAGGTTAAGTAACATTGTTTCCCTGTGTCTGACTGGCTGCTGGGAGAAGTCACAGGAGTTCACCCTCCTCTCATCAGGTACCAGGAACACCCAAGTGTTGAAACCAGTTTCAGCTCGGTCAGGGGCTCAGAGAGATTAGTCTGTGTGAACTGAACACTCTGCTTATTTTTTTTCTCCAACTGAAATTAGTTTTCGGTTTACTTGCGATCGCCCATAGGAAAAGTTACAAGCATTCTATTTCTTTTTTCTGAGTGTTTCCATGGTAACACTGAGTGCTCCAGAGATGAGCATGTCAGCGTGTGCCTCTGAAGTGTGTTGGGTTCTGGGTGGCAGCCATCATTACGGAGACCCTAGAGCTCATCAGCACTAAGTGGTGGTGACAGGGAGCTTCAGGCCATCCACCCGGACACTCATCAAAGCCTGAGTCTATTCACCAGCTATTCGCCAGCGCCTAGTGTTTGTTTATGACTCGCCAATGCTCACACAAGAGGGTCACTGTTTACGGAAAAGTATTTGATGGTGTTCGATTTCAAATACCGTAAAACTTCAATTAATAGGCTGGGAGTTTATTTGCTTTAAATCGCTGTACACAGCAGGTGCTTATTAGAGACGGGCTGCTATTTCCTTAACACATACAGCTTTTGCTCATTTGCAAAGTTAATTGTTTAATTCCATCATTCACTTCCAGCATAAAAAAATCAATACAAATCCATTCCTGCACTGTTATCAATTGCACACTGTCACGTTTCTTTTGTCTTAGTATGCCTCTGTAAAACATTGTTTAAAAATTACAAAAACTTTTCCTTGACAGAATAATTATTCTTCTCTTTGACTGCATTTTTGGCAGTTCTTACTTAAGCCTCTAGAGGGAGATCAGCCGATTTCTGGGGGTCTGTACTCCCGAAGTTATTGACTGTTTTTGTGCTTGCAAATTAGCTAGCCATTCTCTAGCAGTTTTCTTACTGGCGATTAAAAACTGATTGCCATTTTTTTCGAGTCATTATTTAATGTAACAAATCAAACCTCATAAATAATTAATGGTAACCTCGTTAACAATTCATTTAGACCCAGCGTATATTTGAAACATGTTTTTATTTGATGAAATGTGTGCCGTTGCCCAGCTATTAAAAAGGGACAGGCTGCTATTTGAGATTGTTTTAATTGAAGTTTTATGGTACAAGCTTTTGAGAAGGGGTTATGCTTGCCTACGGAGCTGTGAGGGGAACGGCACCTCCTTACCTTCAGGCTCTGATCAGACCCTACACCCAAACGAGGGCACTACGTTAATCCACCTCTGGCCTGCTAGCTCCCCTACCTCTACGGAAGCACAGTTCCCGCTCAGCCCAGTCAAAGCTCTTCGCTGCTCTGGCACCCCAATGGTGGAATAAGCTCCCCCACGACGCCAGGACAGCGGAGTCACTGACCAACCTTCCGGAGACACTTGAAACCCTACCTCTTTAAGGAATACCTGGAATAGTGTAACGTAATCCTTCTACCCCCCTACCCCACCCCCCCCCATAAAAAAAGAAAAAAGAAAAGGGGTTGTCCCACTGGCTATCATAATTTGAAAATCAGAGCGTCTGCTAAATGATGTAAATGTTATTTTGAATGAGAATTGACTTTAACTGAGAATGTTTCTCATCTCCATCTGTCTTGCCTCTTTTCTTCGAAACAGAGGCCCTCCCCGAGAAGAAGCAACAGCCCCGACAAATTCAAACGTCCGACACCACCGCCCTCCCCCAACACGCACTCAGGGGCGCTCCCTCCGCCGGCCCAGCCGATGGTCCAGTCCATGTCTTCTCCGGCAGCTATGTCGCAGCATGCGGCACATCCCCCCTCCCAGCCTTAACATGTGTGCTATTACATGCTACGCTACTTCGACAACGAGGGAGTTGAAACCCCACAGAGCAAGTTTCTATGAGCTGGCAGAGGACCTGAAGCAACACAGGACGTTCTATGAGGAATTGACTGACTTTAACAGCGCTTCTGGGATTTGTAGGCCCATATCTGTTCACCTTGTCTTGTACATTTGTTTTTTGCTTAGAACTTTCGCCGATTGGAATTGTTATTGTGGCGCTGATGACCAACACGTATGGTAACAACGTCTGTAGTGGTGTTTGTGGGAAGGGTGTGTTGGATCCCTTCCATGTCTACAATACCACATTTCAACTGCAGTAATGTGCACCCCCCACCCCCTTGTTTAAAAGCAATTTAAGCAGTTGCATCCCAGTAAGAATCACTTAAGTCAGTAAGATGTGTTGTAAAAGAAAGCTAAACTTTAGGAGTTACCCAGATATAGGGCATTGATTATCAGCAGGAGCTAGCGCAAATGTTTTTTTGTTTTTTACTGAAAGAATTTTAATGCCACACTGCTCGTCAAAAAAAGACACAAGGAAGATGGACACTGGTACAGAAACCACAGATAAATGTTGCCTTTTGAGGTGTTAAAATGTAGTCTGAGGTGTTACAATATATGTAGTCATGTACTTGTTTCTCTCTCGCTCTCGTGTAGTTCTAAAAGCTTCTATCATCCATATGGATATTCCTCATCAGAAAAAAACATAATGCTCTTTACACTAAGTATACTGCTATAACATTCTAAATGAATGGTACTGTTGAACTACATTTCTATGTATGATTAAAAGCTCTTGAAGATTATTCTGATTTGAGTGTGTTTGTTTTGCACTTCGTTTTTTGCAATATGTGGCATCTCTTGACTGTTGGTCATGTTTTCAGTTTTACTGGAGGTTGTTGTGTATACAGGTAACTGCCAAAATAATGGAAATGCTTGAGTAAATGAGGAATGTTGAAAGCACGTGCTTCAACACAGGTGTGGTTCCTGAATTAATTAAGCAATTAACATCCTCATCATGCTTAGGGTCATGTATAAAAATGCTGGGTAGGCCATTATTTTGGCTACCATGGCTATGCCCCCATAGGATGTAAATGCCTCCATCCACAGGGCACGAGTGGTCACTGGATGGTTTGATGAGAATGAAAACGATGTAAACCATATGCCATGGCCGTCTCAGTCACTAGATTTCAACCCAATTGAACACTTCTAGGGAGATTCCGGAGTGGTGCCTGAGACGGCGTTTTCCACCACCATCAACAAAACACCAAACTATGGAATTTCTTGTGGAAGAATGGTGTCGCATCCCTCCAGTAGAGTTCCAGACCCGTTGAAGCTGTTCTGGCTCGTGGTGGCCCAACACCCTATTAACACACGTTATGTTGGTGTTTCCTTTATTTTGGCAGTTACCTGTACACAGTGTAGAAAACATTAAGGACACCTTCCTAATATTGAGTCGCACACCTCCCTTTTTCCCTCAGAACAGCCTCGATTCATTGGGGCATGGACTCTACAAGGTGTCAAAAGTGTTCCACAGGGATGATGGCCCCTGTTGACTCCAATGTTTCCCACAGTTGTGTCAAGTTGGCTGGATGTCCTTTGGGTGGTGGACCATTCTTGATACACAGGAAACTGTTGAGCGTGAAAAACCCAGCAGCAGTTCTTGACACAAACCGATACGCCTAGCACCTACTACCATACCCCGTTCAAAGGCACTTCATTATTTTGTCTTCCCCGTTCACCCTCTGAATGGCACACATACTGTATACAAGCTATGTCTCAAGGCTTAAAAATACTTCTTTAACATGTCTCCTCCCCTTCATCTACACTGATTGAAGTGGATTTAACAAGTAACATCAGTAAGGGATCATAGCTGGATTCACCTGGTCAGTCTGTCATGGAAAGAGGTGTTCCTAATGTTTTGTACACTCAGTATATATCCCTCATTCTGGCAGATTTGAGATTTTAATACCAGCATTGAATACACATAACCGTTGCTTATCTGAAGCATGCACTGTTCTGTAAAATGATGTGTTCCAGTCCCTCTTGCATAACCCTGAGCTGAACTTCTGTTACGTAAAATGAACCTCTGGCACTAATAAAGTAATTGACTGGAAATTATATTTCCAAAGGTGTGAATGTGCTGTGTGTCAGTGTTAATTTGAGGAGAATGTGTTTGTAATGTTTAATGTCTCAGCCTTTGATTTCCCTGATAGGTGCCACATCGAAGAGTCCTGAAAACAGACACTCACTTCCAACATTCCAGTGTTTTCTTGGTGGCACAGCAAAAGCGGAGGACAATGGGCAATTCAATCATACACTGGCTTCAGTCAAACGCTATCCCATTCTGGCGAGGAACTATGTTATTCCCAATACCAGAACCACTTCACAGACTGTTCAGTAATCCCCTCTCCCTTTTAGCCGCTGTGTGTGTGATATTAGATAAATAGCCTTGCCCCGCCTTCTCCTGTAACACCTCACCCTAAACTAGAGGTTAATCTAGCTTCAAAAATATTTCATTTCAAGCAGCTCTCTCAATAGCTCGCCTCTCGCCCCCTGGCTGTGCGCCCACACCCAAACGTCAAGTCTACCTGGTTTGGACTGGTTCAAGCCAGTGGGCAAAGCGGCTTTTCATGACTCCACTCTCCAGGGAGATTACTGTGATAAACTTTAATATGATTGCAATAACCCCAAGGACTGGGTGGGAACTTGATCCTACAGACATTTCAGCCTCAGGACAGGGGTGGACAGGAGAGGACCGATTCACATTCACACATTTGGGCCAACCCCCCCCCCCCCCCCCCATTAAAACAATGTATGCGATAGCCATGTTGAAAGAGCTTTTTTTGAGATGTGATATGATAGACACCTCTGCGTGTAATTTTTTTTATCATGCAGAGCTAAGCAATTTAAACTAATCCAAGCAGGAATCCAGATTGGACTCGTAAAGGAGCCATGCTGTGAGAGTTTCGTGCCCTTTAATCCGGGGCTCTCGGAACCTGGTGGCAGAGCATACACTGGCGTTTATTCAACCCGTGGGGAATTTCTGTTTTTTCAACATCAAACCCGCTCACCCTGATGGGTTTCATGGAACTGAACAGCTGGTTGCTGCTCTTGAGGTCTCCGTTGGTGTGAATGTGGACAGATGATGCTGCGAGAAAGGGATAACATTTAGCCTCTCTAAAGGTGTCGGTCTTGGTCATCTTCCCAGAGTTGATGGGAAAAGTGTAAGTATGTTTTCCAACTAAAGTTATAAGAGGCCTATATTTGCTTAAGTATCAATCACCACTCCCCCTTGACCTTTGGAGGGTCATATGAGCAGCATAATGTAGTTCTCCATAGCCGGTTTGGACTGGGTTTTCGACCAAACTAACATTGGTACCTCATGTCCAGAACAAACGCATATACTGTCATTTCAAAACCACCCAAATCAAGTCCTTACAAATGGCCCATATGCATGACTTGATTTGGGTGGTTTTGGGTTTACAGTATATGCGTTCGTATTAGCCTGGGTACCAGTCTATTTCTGCTAACATTCCACTCCTTGTACTCTGTGTCATCTGCCAAACATGCATATGACACGGAGTACAAGGTGGGGAATATCTAAACCGACTGGTATCCAGGCTAAATTTGTATGATATGGGTTGTGTAAGCATCATTATTTTTCCATTCATACCTATACAGTGCATTCGGAAAGTATTCAGACCCCTTGACTTTTTCAAAATGTTGTTACGTTACAGCCTTATTCTAAAATTGATTAAATTGTTTTTTTCGCTCATCAATCTGCACACAATACCCCATAATGACAAAGCAAAAACAGGTTTTTAGAAATGTTTGCAAATGTATTTAAAATAAAAAATGGAAATATCACATTTACATAAGTATTCAGACCCTTTACTCAGTACTTTATTGAAGTACCTTCGGCAGCGATTACAGCCTCAAGTCTTCTTGGGTATGACGCTACAACCTTGGCACACCTGTATTCTCCCATTCTTCTCTGCAGATCCTCTCAAGCTCTGTCAGGTTGAATGGGGAGCGTCGCTGCACAGCTATTTTCTGGTCTCTCCAAAGATGTTCGATCGGGTTCAAGTCCAGGCTCTGGCTGGGCCACTCAAGGACATTCAGAGACTTGTCCCAAAGTCACTCCTGCGTTGTCTTGGCTGTGTTCTTAGGGTCGTTGTCCTGTTGGAAGGTCAACCTTCGCCCCAGTCTAAGGTCCTGAGCGCCCTGGAGCAGGTTTCCATCAAGGATCTCTCTGTACTTTGCTCCGTTCATCTTTCCCTCGATCCTGACTAGTCTCCCAGTCCCTGCCACTGAAAAACATCCCCACAGCATGATGCTGCCATCACCATGCTTCACCGTAGGGATGGTGCCAGGTTTCCTCCAGACGTGACGCTTGGCATTCAGGCCAAAGAGTTCAATCTTGGTTTCATCAGACCAGAGAATCTTGTTTCTCATGGTCTGAGAGTCCTTTAGGTGCCTTTTTGCAAACTCCAAGTGGGCCGTCATGTGCCTTTTACTGAGGAGTGGCTTCCGTCTGGCCACTCTACCATAAAGGCCTGATTGGTGGAGTGCTGCAGAGATGGTTGTCCTTCTGGAAGGTGCTCCCATCTCCACAGAGGAAGTCCCCTGTAGCTCAGTTGGTAGAGCATGGCGCTTGCAACGCCAGGGTTGTGGGTTCGTTTCCCACGGGGGCCAGTATGAAAATGTATGCACTCACTAACTAAGTCGCTCTGGATAAGAGCGTCTGCTAAATGACTAAAATGTAAAAATAAAAGTAAAATGTAGAAACTCTGGAGCTCTGTCAGAGTGACCATCGGGTTCTTGGTCACCTCCCTAACCAAGGCCCTTCTCCCCCGATTGCTCAGTTTGGCCAGGGGACCAGCTCTAGGAATAGTCTTGGTGGTTCCAAACTTCTTCCATTTAAGAATGATGGAGGCCACTGTGTTCTTGGGGACCTTCAATGCTGCAGAAATGTTTTGGTAACCTTCCCCAGA